GAGGAGGAGGAGGAGGAGGAGGAGGAGGAGGAGGAGGAGGAGGAGGAGGAGGAGGAGGAGGAGGAGGAGGAGGAGGAGGAGGAGGAGGAGGAGGAGAAGCGATGAAGGCCATGTATGACATCACAGGGCAGGAAGCCAGGAGGAGGGGAGAGGGGCAGGTGCCAGGGGGGTTGGAGGAACACAGCAAGCATGTCACGACTCCAAGCACACGCGGGGTGGATGGCTGAACTGGAAGCAGCAGCCTCCCCACTGCGCCCTTCACTGGCCCTTGCACTGCCTTGAGGTGTAAATTCCTCCTGAGCCTGAACGTGCTCAAGAGCCCTTTCAGGCACCGTTTGCATGGTTGACTGCATAGCATCTCCTGCCCCGCCTGCTGTGCGCTCATCACTAGCCAGCGCCACACCACTACCCATTACTGCATGATTTGTGCTCACTGCCTCGCCTGCCTCTCTTGCTGCAGCTGCTGCCCCTGCTCCTCCTGCTTCTGTCTCTCCCCCAGCAGCGTCACCCCACCCTCCTGGTCGCACCACGCAGTGCACAGCGGCTCTGAGGCGCCCTCCTGACAGCACCTGAGCTGCCTCGCCCACCTGAACTGCCACACAGCGCGCTGGCAGCTCCACACGTACAGGTGAGCAGGAGAGTGGGTCCCACACGTGCAGACCAGCCGCGGCCGTGGCAACGCTGACACTGCTGCTGGTGGCGGTGGTGGTGTTGCTACTGCAGCAGCAGCTGCTGCTGCTGGTACTGCTGTTGCTACTGTCGCTGCTGCTGCTTCTGGCAGTGGCGGTGGTGAGAGAATCAGATATCACTCGTGAAGCTGTTGTCGAGTGAGACAAGTCCGAGGGGGAAGCTGGGCTGGCAGTGGTGAGAGGGCAGGCGAGGTGGAAGTCAGAAGGGGAGGCAGCAGACACGTAGAGGGGCGCAACAAGGGCTGTGAACAGCCCGTAGTCATAGTGCCACTGCTGCCACGGGGGCAGGTGCGATGGGAGAGATGAGCGGCATGGGGTGGAGGCGCGTGAAGGGCCTTGCCTGGGTGTGGTGGACCCTCGTGAGTCCACGGCTGCATGGCCCTCAGGGGGTTCTGCTGCCCTTACCCTCACACCATCATCAGTACCATCAGAGTGCTTTACCTCCTCCTGCTCCTGCTCCTGCTCCTGCTTCTGCTGCTCCTGGTGATGCTGCTGCTCTAGCTGCTGTTGCTGGTGGTGCATGTGCTTGTGCTTGTGCTGCTGCTGGTTTGAATCTCGTCTTTGCACATGTTTCCGGCCCACCTCTTCTGACCCCTCACTCAACACACCGCACCGTTCCACATTCCCTTTTCTTGCCTCGCCTCTTTTCTCCCCTTTTCTTCCCCTCACTCCCTGCACATGCTCACACACAGGCCACTGCCCTGCTTGCCCCAACCGCTCACACCCGCTCTCATCCTTGCCCTGCCTCCCCTTCCGCCTCCTCCCTCCCTGCTCCGTTCTCCCACCCTCCCACTCCAGTTCCCCCCATGCATGATAGTGAATCAGGCGCGCCTTGCCTGTGCCCCCTACCATTGCCTCCACCAGACGCACCTCCCCTCTCCCTTCCTGCTGCTGCTTCTTGTGATGATGCTGCTGCTGCTCTGGGCCCCGCCTTGCCTCACTCCCACAGTCACACACAGCACCACCACCATCACTGCTACTGCAGGCGCTGTAAAGAACCCCTTGGCCTGCGGGCAGGACAGCAGCGTCAGGAACGGGAGCAGCAGCAGGACAGGGCGGGTTGCTGCCCGCTGCTCGCTTCCCTGCCACGCGTGCGCGCGGGAGGCCGAGTGAGTGCGCGCAGGACGGGCAGGACGGGCAGGACGGGCAGGGCGTGCAGAGGGAGAGGGAGTGGTTGAGAGCAGCGTCACAGAGCAGAGCGACGAGCAGTGTGGCATGAGAGGCGTGCGAGGCCAGGCGGAGCATGAGCGGGCGCAGGAGCGAGAGCGGAGGGGAGGTGGCGGGGGGGATGGCGCACATGCCGTGGGAAGGAGGCTGCAGCAGTGAAGGGAGGAGGGAAGCTAGTGGTTGATCAAGTTGCGATGGGCAGTCAGACGATAATGGTGGTGGTGATGGTGATTCTGATGCTGATCGTGATGATGATTGAGATGCTGAAGGTAGTGCAGGGCAAGTAACGCTCGTTGGTGTGGTTGCTGTGGGGTTTTGTTCAGGGTGCGTTGCTGTCGTTGTTGTTGTCTGTACCACACATAACCGAGAACTCGCCCCATGGCCGCTCTGCGTGCCTCTTTTGCTCTCTGCAGCAGCGGCCGTGCTGCGAGGAGGAAGAGGACGAGAGGGCAGAGGCGCGTTGATAAAGAAGGAGGAGACAGGGCGCTTGGGGTTGGAGAGAGGCAGGTCGGAACCCACTCCGTGCTCCTGACACGTGGCGTGCAGCGTGGATGCGTGTGTGAGAGAGAGAGAGAGAGAGAGAGAGAGAGAGAGAGAGAGAGAGAGAGAGAGAGAGAGAGAGAGAGAGAGAGAGAGAGAGAGAGAGAGAGAGAGAGAGAGAGAGAGAGAGAGAGAGAGAGAGGAGGTAGTGGGAGAGGGTAGATAGGGGGAGAACACACACAAGCACACACATGCGGAATGAAAGACGGCCTTGGGAGAGGCAAAACAACAGCAGCAGCTGCACGGGGGGATACGTAAGACGACCCGCCAGCCAGGGCATGACACGGAATGGGAGGGAATGACATCCGATGACAGGGGATGACCCGCCTGCCGCTTACCCGCAGGAAAGCGTTTCGGCATGATGGGTGCATTAGAGCGAGTCGCCGCGCCAAAGGAAGCAACTGCAGTCGCACCGCCTCCACATGCGGCACGTCTTTAATCGCCACTATGCCGCACCCGGCCGGCCCGTAGCAGTCCAGCAGCTGCCGTGCGACACGCCGTGCGACAGCTGTCGCGTCGGCGCCACCTGTCGCAGGCGATTCGCCACTACTACCGTAGCTCATGCCGTGGCTAGTGACGGTATAATCTGAAGTCTCTGTACTGGAGGTTGCACCAAAGCTTCGCGCTTTTATCGAATCATCGCCTTCTACCGAAACTCCTGTGTCATCCGCGACGTGTGATGAGTCGGGGGGGATTGATCCCAGTGCGCGAGCGACAACCACGGCAGCGGTGCGAAGGTCCGCATAGTCGATGATCGGGAGGGCAGGGCGGGAAGGAGTGTCGTCCATAGCTAACGGGTAATAGGATGTGAGGTGAGGCTTGGAGGTTTTGTGCTGGATCTTGGGTCCTTACAGGATGCTTGTGCAGTACTGCACAGAATTCAAGTTCAAGATCATTTTAGCATGCATCCCCACGAAACAGGGATACCATTTGCCGTGCAAAAAAGCGTACCACCGCTGCGCAAGCATCCGCAGCGTACCCAACCGAGAAAGGGGGAGGAACCCTGAGGCACACGACAACACCGAAGCTGTTTGGAGCAAAAGGGTGTGTCGCCTGATCCGTCAATTGCCACCACGCGATGAGCTCCACACCAGGGCAAATCTTTCGTTTTTGAAGGCACGGAAGGCTCCGGGTTCGCCTGAGAAAAGACCCTGAAGAATCAGTATTCCCTCGAAAGTCTCCCTTCCGCGTCCGTGTGTTTTTCCAAAAATCCGAAAATGCACAGGAGCAATTCTATCACCCTGGGCGCAAGGGGCTCTGGGGCGTCTAAGTTGGATGGGCAAGGACCAACAAACCTGAGATTTACATCATGTCTGACAGCACTTATGGGCATCGCTGCATTCGACATCCTACACAAGAACTGGTACCGAGCTAAAATATCAGGGTTTTTTTCGAAACAATACTGAAGTCCCCGAACGCTTAGCCAATTATCCGGAAATGGTCCGGATGATTTCTAAAACGATTCTGATGATCAGGGTTAGCCGAAAAAAACATACGGAATGTACCTGAGTTTCAGAGTGTTTACCCGGATACCGAGAGCCCTGCTCCACACCAAACCACGGCTGTGGGTTCCCATCCCACCCCCGCACTCGAGCAACTCTCATCCCCCTCACATCCTCCTCGGCTCAGCCATGCGGTCGGCCATAGCATAGACGTGCAATCGCTGGCTAAAATCGCTCAAAGTCGGTTGAGTTTTAGTTTAGGTCGCATATACGTAGTTATTGATCTCTCGATTTAGCCAATCAGATGGAACCACCCACGCACATCCATGACCTTCCTGACGACGTTCTCACGAGGATTTTTTGGCACTTTGAGCAGCCCACGCCTATTAGAAATGCGGACAGCGATTGCGTGTGGGCTTCCCATTCTTTGACTCCCGCTCCGAAGTACCTCTCTGCAAACCTTTCACACGAGAAGGCCGTTCGTGAGGAAAAAAAGACGCCGTTACCCATTCCTCCTCCCTCTGCGGACGCGCACCGTATTCTCCTCGTGGCGGCCGTGTGCCGTCGCTGGCGCGGTCTCACTCAGCGTTGCGTCTCCGCGCTTCTCGTCCGAGACAATCTCGTCGTGTCTCGCCAGGCTCTCGCGAGTGCTGTCGTTGCCTTACCGAACCTGACCCATCTCCACCTCTGCGACGGCAGCGTCGAGACTCTCGACGACGCCTTCCTCGCTCACCTCGCGTCGTCATGCCCCAACCTCGCCATCCTCCACGTCGGAAGCGGAATAACGCCGGTGGATTGTAGACATCATTATGACAGGGAATTCGAGAAAGACGCGCAACCTATTACAAACTCCGGCCTAAATAATCTCTTTAGGCATATCACTCGGCTAGAGCAGCTTTCGCTTTACTGCCTGCACCCTCACGTCGACTTGCCCGCTTCCTTCTTCCAGCTTCCGCATCTGCACACTCTCGCCCTCACAAATGCTTCACCGCTCGAAACTCCCGACTTCGCCAGCCTGACATCGCTCACCACCCTGCACATTGCCTCCGGATATATCACCTTGAAGCAAGTGGCAAGCCTTGCTCGCCTCTCACGCATCACCACCTTGTCAATCTCAGATGAAGTCTCGGTGTGCCGTGGCGAGGGCCCTGCAGACTTCGACATGGCACAGCTGCCTCTGCTCAAGTCGTTGCGATTCTGCGAAATGCTGCCTGCTGCATCGCCATGCACCAGCCTGGAACGCCTGGAGATTGTCAGCAAGTACCTGATTGGGCATTTGGACGAGCTTTCGCCAGATCTTCTGACCTTTCAACTCGGACAGCTCATGCCGTGCCTCCGCGAGCTTTGCCTTCGCCAGAGATTCGCTGCTGAGCACGTTCCTGGTCATGTCACGTCTCTACCTTCCACTTCTCTCACTCTCTTGGAGAGCTTGACACTTATTGAGTGTAACCGGCTTCACAGCCTGCCAGAGGACATCGGATGCCTGCATGCCCTCAAGACCCTCGTGCTGCACAGGCTGCCCCTCGTGGCCCTCCCGAACGCCCTCTGTCACCTGCCCTCCCTCGAGACATTCGTCCTCGTTGAATGCACCACCAGCCGTCACCTCCTCCAGCTGCCCGAAGCATTCTTCTGCCTCACGTCGCTCCAAACCCTCGCTATCATGAAGATGCCGCGAGTGAGGCTACCGGAGAACATAGGGGAGCTCTCAAGGCTGCACACGCTGTATTTGAATGGCCTGTACCAGCAGCCACGACTGCCACTCTCCTTCACCGAGTTGACTTCATTGACCAGGCTTGAACTGGCCATGTGCACGATTCAAGAGCTTCCCGAGGACTTGGGGAACCTCATTAACCTGCAGGAGTTGCACATTCGTTCTTGTCCTCTGCTCCAGAAGCTTCCAGAGTCCCTCACGAGCCTCTCGAGCCTAGAAACCCTAACGGTTGATGATTGTGTGAAGCTAGTCTCAGTTCCCAGAAGGCTAGACAGCCTTGGGAGGCTCAAATGGCTGGAGCTGACTGGATGCCCCGATCAGACTGAGCCTCCTACATGCCTGCCATTCTCTCTCGAGGTCTTGAGTCTTGGAAACAGCTACCACGTGGCTGATCTGCCAGACGTCTCCTTGCTGCCTTGGCTGAGAAAGCTCTCCTTGAAGCTGGTTGGTGCGCAGGAGAGGATGGATGTGGGCAGCAGCTTGGCGCGCGTGAAGCAGCTGGAGCTGGCGCTGCAGAAGGAGGCTGTGGAGCTGCCCTTCTCCCTTGCGCTGCTCCCCCAGCTGCACACGCTGGTCATCTGGAACGCGGGGAAGATGCAGCAGCTTCCAAGCGACATGGGATGGGCTGTGGCGCAGCTGAGGGTTGTGCAGATCCACTGTGCGCGGGAATTGAGGGAGCTGCCGGACAGCATTGGTGCTGCATCCCGCCTGCGCCAGCTGCACCTCTTTGACTGCCCCGCCCTGCACCACCTGCCCGCTTCCCTCGCCCACCTTGCATGCCTCCACCAGCTGCATGTGGAAAACACCGGCCTGCGCTGCCTTCCTCCAGGTATTGCACAATTGACCAGGCTGCGCAGTCTTAGCTTGCATGGCTGTGAGGAGCTGCAGGGCCTGCCAGACGATCTCACGGAGCTGAAAATGCTGCAATACTTGGGCATTAAGAATTGCAGCAAGGATGTGTGGGGTGGGTGGGACAGAGGATTGGAACCTCGTGGGCTTCAAAGTCTGTATGGGTTGAGGATGGAATGTTCTTGGTGGTAAGATTGTACTGTATGTGTTGTCCTGATTGTGTGATGTGAACCTGGTTCAAGCTGTTTAGTATCGTATTGCCAAGATGCTGCTGGCACCAAGTTACGCTTTATGATTGCTGCTCATTGATGATTGCGTAGAACACCCACCCCAATCTTTGCGTAGACCAGAAAACGTTGCCTTATGATCTGAGGTTGATTAGCGTCACTTTGGGCCAGGCTGTGCCCGATCCGGTTCCAAGTTTACGCCTGAGTAGCTGCCCTCGCTAAATCTTACCATACTACTACCGTAGGTTTTCACTGGTACGCTGAATGTTGGGAATCACTTCTTAGTTATTGACGTTTCCACGCATTCATCCTTTCACTGCTCATAGCACTCGGATTTGTTTTGCAGCTAAGTATGTTATCCTCGTTATAAAGCTGGCTGGGGCTTGGGGATGGGCTTGTGAGATGGTCACTTCCACCCACCTCAGGTGGCACGTCCGTCGTGGCAGTCCACGTGTTCATGGGTACGAACATCACGTCACACGTTTTCGTGGTGGCAGTCGCTCCAGACAACTGGATAGTTTCTGCGGGCGCCAGCGAAGTTCGACAGCTTTCGTGAGCTTCTTCTTGTACCAATCAATTCGCAAATGTGGCGGGGTGCCCCCCTTGTTCCGTTTCTGTGACTCGCACACTTTCGTTCCGTCTCGTCCGTCCGTCTACGTTTGCCAGCAAGGTCTGGTTCTCATCAACCACCCAAACCCAGTCAATGCCCCTTGTCCAGTAATCCGGAAATGTGGGATCGCCACGCTGGTCAGCCTTGCGGAAAAATCACTAAACCCGACGGTTTTCAGATTTGTGTCAAATCGGTCGACCACTCGTGCGCCACGTCAGCTCAAATTAGAAAACCAAAACTCCGATCGACCGACCCTTTTTCTACACTTGCAAGTACGAATTAGTCACCCTGTCGCAAGTGTTACTTCTGCGTTAGGGTTTCTCGAAATTCGTGGGTTTGTGGGTGGTAGCGCTACCGAGTGAGTCAGCATGCTGACCGCGGACAAAAAAATAAACCCCATGGTTTACGGCATGCCATTTGGGAGCCTCAACCCTAAATTTTTAGGGTTGAGGCTTCCTCGGATGACATGTCGTCCGAGTGGATTTTAGTTTTTTTTCTTGCCCGCGGTCAGCTTGCTGACTCGATTGCACTGCCTGCTTACGCAGGCAGTGCAATATATATTCCAACCTACACGACACCTCTGTATGTACTGTGCAGACCAACACCACGACAAAAACGATATCATGCGGGCCAGCACGTGAGCCTAAACCAAACCTACTTTGACAAAGTTACGTACCTACTCAACACCAACCGATAAACATTACTTCATAACGCGTAAGCTTTTGTAGGGTCGATCGGAGTTTTGGAATTCGAAATAGTGCTGACGTGGAGCACGAGTGGTCGACCGATTTGACACAAATCTGAAAACCGTCGGGTTTAGTGATTTTTCCCAGCCTTGCCTCATCAAGGCCATGTACAAAATGGTTCGTCCGCTTTTCCGTTAGTGATCCGTCGGTTCAACGTCAAACGAGCAACGGTTCCCTCCCACATTCGTGAAGATCCCAAGGTTGCCTCCCTTTCTTCTCCAATCACCCCGCGTGCCACCTCACCTGTGTTTCCCTTCACACAGCCTTATCCAATTTCAAGGCTTTTCCATCGCCTGTAGTGTTGGCTGCGCTGATCAACTCAGCCCTGCTACCCTTAGTCATGGAGGCCTCCGTCGGCGTTCTGCAGTCCAGCTCCATGTCATCCTCATCCTTCTACGGATCGCGGCTCTATGCGAAGCCGTCTTCCCTCCCGGCGCAAAGAAATGCCGCTGGAGCGGTTACAGTTCGCGCTGACATGTGGAAGAAGCTCGGTGGGCGAGGACTGATCAGGGAGGACATTTTGAAGAGCGATAAAGCCAATGAGGTTTTGTGGAACCAGCCAGCAAGACCCGGGAAGGACACGACGAAAGAGAAGCTGTCGATCGACAAGGAACTCGTTGAGGGCTTCGACAAGGAGCTCAGTGGCTTGACCGGCGGCTTTCCTGGTGGCGAGAAGGTGAGCCTTTGACAGTACAACGTTTAGTTGCGGACCAACTCGTTACATACACGCCTAGAGCGATACACATTCAGTAACCCGTTGAATGCCCGTACGAAGTTCCAGGTGCGATCGCCATGTACGGGCGCATTGTGTGTACAGTCGCCTCTTTGTCTTCCCACTTCTATTGCATTTTGCCCTTGAAACGCATCGTTTGTTTTGTACGTTACGGACCCCTGGCGAGGTTGTACCGTATCTTTTTATACCGTATGTACCAACAGCACTTCCGACATCCATAATGATGGCACAATGCCTCCCTACGGAAAGGGCTCCGTTTACTAACAGACCCATGTTCCTTCCACTGTCATTGTCCTCTCAGGGGCTCGCTAAATTTCTGAAAAACAACCCGCTGCCAGCCAAATACGCAACGGCTTCTTCGGAGCTCGCTAAGGTTCAACAGCGGTTGTCTGAAGCCGCAGCTGCCATCGCTTCCTCTGTTCCCAAGCCCCTTGCGCCGCCGTTGCTCATGCCTGGCATGACCGTCAAGGTTATCAATCCCAAGGACGCCTACTACCAGTACTCTGGCATTGTCCAAAGACTGACTGATGGGAATGTCGCTGTGCTCTTCGAGGGTGGCAACTGGGACAAGCTCGTGACCTTCCGACTGTCTGAATTGGAAAGGACAAAGAAGGGACCCCCTGGCTCTAACCCTAAGTCCGCGTCTCTTCAGTCAGACCCTGCCTTCCAGAAGTAGGCCAATTAAGGCGTATGATGTAGCCATTCTACTTCAGGCCTGTTGGACAACAATGACGAAGTCCTACTGTGCTGGATCAATATGGGACCTGTAAATTCTTTGCTTAGCGGTAGCATGAGTTGGAATGAAGGCATTCCCACAACTGGTTCAGAATAATATCCTATTCTAGTATGACCAACCTTAGGGGGGAAGCAGTGGCATGCCTAATCACTGGACAACATCTATCAAGAGTTGCAAGTACAAGTGCAGCATGTGTTGCAGATAACCCTACGCAACAACCTGCTGATTCATTGGAGTGCTTTGTTGTATCAAGTCAAAACCGCATTTTTCAGACACACCCTAAGTCATCAGTCAACAACCCCAACATTTCTGAGAATTCTACTCGGAACAAATCCCTCTGTACAGGATTCACCAATCTACACCAGAACCCGTGGGCTGCTGGAATATCAGCACCATATTCCAACCAAAATGCTATTGCAGCATTGCCCAGAAACTCTAGACACATCCACAACGATCAGAGTAGCAGTACGAGCAGGTGAGCTTTCAAGAAGTTCACGACACGAGTGGGGGCTCCGGGTGTGCCATGGTGAAGAGGTGCCTGCCGCCTGTGGCCTCTAGGTCAGCCAGCACTCTCTCTGCTGCCCTGTACCCGCCCACCAGAGCCTTGCCCACTGCCAGGCCGTCCCGGTGGTTGCCTGGGGGAAGAAGGGTGTTGGGTGGGTGGGAGGACAGAGAGGTGCAGTGCGGTGCAGGCGGCATGGAGGGAGTGGGCTCAGAGTTTCCAGCACTAGGGAGGCCGCACAGTGTTGGACCTTGTTGAAAGGACACACCACGGTAGGATAATTTAGTTCACCTGACTTGAAAAAGAACCTGGTTGCGAGGCAACCGATAGCCCCTCCTGCCGTGCCGTTCTAAGCGGAATGCATAAATACAGGGACTCAGTCCAAACACACATAGTAACACTACTTCACCCCCCACCTCATTCACCCCTCACCTCCTTCACCCCCCACCTGAACCCTAATTCGGCGGCGCACCTGCCCAGTAGAAGAAGGGCGTGGTGGCCTCTATCTTGCGCATGCTCCCCAACACACTGCCGTAGCCGTGCGTGAGCTCCGGAAAGGCGTCCTGCCACACCATGTGCCTGGGGGAGCAGGGAAGGGAAGGGGGAGCGGTGGGGTGTGCGGGGTAGGAAGGGCGTGGTGGCCTCTATCTTGCGCATGCTGTCCAGCATGCCTCCTCCATAGCCGTGCGTGAGCTCCGGAAAGGCGTCCTGCCAATGCCACACCATGTGCCTGGGCAGACACGTGGCGGTGGGGTCGGAGAGAAACGAGATGGGGGAATAGTGGGGTGTGTGAGGCAAGATGGGGAGGGGAATAGTGAGGGAGAACGAGAGGGGGGGAGGGGGATTGGTTCCTGTGGCTGGAGAGGCATTGGATGGTACTGCTTGCAAGTAACGGGGCGTGTAATGTAGGAGATGGAAGAACGGTTGAGAAGGGGAGGGGGGAGAAGAAAAGGGAAGAGAAGGGAAGGAAAGGGAAGGGAGAGAGGGTAGTGTGGAGATAGGTGAGTGGAGGAGCGTACGAGGAAAAGATGGGCTTGGCCTTGACTCCGAGGAGGCGCTGCAGGTCCGCTAGAGCCATGGCGTTCAGCTGCTCCCTGCCATGCCATGATGTGCCATGCCATGATGTGCCATGCCATGATGTGCCATGCCATGATGTGCCGCGCCATGATGTGCCATGCCATGATGTGCCATGCCATGATGTGCCATGCCATGATGTGCCATGCCATGATGTGCCATGCCATGATGTGCCATGCCATGATGTGCCATGCCATGATGTGCCATTCCATGATGTGTCATGCCATGATGTGCCATGCCATGATGTGCCATGCCATGATGTGCCATGCCATGATGTGCCATGCCATGATGTGCCATGCCATTATGTGCCATGCCATGATGTGCCATGCCATGATGTGCCATGCCATGATGTGCCATGCCATGATGTGCCATGCCATGATGTGCCATGCCATGATGTGGCATGCCATGATGTGGCATGCCATGATGTGTCAAGCAATGATGTGTCATGCCATGATGTGTCATGCCATGATGTGTCACGCCATGATGTGTCACGCCATGATGTGTCATGCCATGATGTGCCACGCCATGATGTGCCATGCCATGATGTGCCATGCCATGATGTGCCGCGCCATGATGTGCCGCGCCATGATGTGCCATGCCATGATGTGCCATGCCATGATGTGCCATGCCATGATGTGCCATGCCATGATGTGCCATGCCATGATGTGCCATGCCATGATGTGCCATGCCATGATGTGCCATGCCATGATGTGCCATGCCATGATGTGCCATGCCATGATGTGCCATTCCATGATGTGTCATGCCATGATGTGCCATGCCATGATGTGCCATGCCATGATGTGCCATGCCATGATGTGTCATGCCATGATGTGCCATGCCATGATGTGCCATGCCATGATGTGCCATGCCATGATGTGCCATGCCATGATGTGCCATGCCATGATGTGCCATGCCATGATGTGCCATGCCATGATGTGGCATGCCATGATGTGTCATGCCATGATGTGTCAAGCAATGATGTGTCATGCCATGATGTGTCATGCCATGATGTGTCACGCCATGATGTGTCACGCCATGATGTGTCATGCCATGATGTGTTACAAAAGCCCAAACGTTTGGGAATGAGAGAGGAAAGACTTGTTTTCAGAGTTCAATGGCAATGCGCAGGAGATGTGTTATGTGTGAGTGGGGTAGAGGCTCATGAAGCATAGAGCAACGTGCATGTGTTTCTGAGTGCGGAGATTCAACGCAAGTGCGCACGCACGCTGGTACCGGAAGCACACACAATTACACAAGAACTCTGCGTAGCCATTGCCTCTGTTTCTACCCCCGTCACTCCTCTCCCCCAACTCTCCTCCCTCCCACGGCCTAGCTGCTGCTGGTGCAAACCTCTCACTAGGCAGCTCACACGGAGGCAGAGCGCAGGCCCTTGAAGCATGAGCAGTGCATGAGCGACGCGAGAGCAGCACTGTTCACTTGTGTGCTTTGAGTCGAGTAGATAATCCCCCACTCTAGCTGCACACTCACACGGAGGCAGAGCGCAGGCCCTTGAAGCGAGAGCCGCCCACAAAGGATGTGAGCAGCACCGTGCCCTTGGGGGCACGCTGGGGGAACATGGCGGACGAGAAGAGCGTGCCTGGGGGGAGAGGAGGGGGACGGCAGGAGAGAGCATGGGGGTGCGGTAACGCTGAAAGCATTTTTGGAGTTGCACTGGGGAAGGTGGTGGAAGAGAAGAGCGTGCTAGAAGGTGGAGAGAGGTGAGGAGAAGGGAACATGCGGGGGGGTGCGGGGAGGGAAGGAAGAGCAAGACATGGGGTGTGAGGAAGTTCCGGATTGAGGACGGAATTGGAATGGGGCAAGTCGGAGCAGGTTAGAACCATCACTGTGCTTGTTAGATGCACGTTGGAAGAGCAGGAGAGGGTCAGGAGATGACGATGGTTGAGAGTCTTAAGACAAATCTCAAAAGCAAAGGATGTAGGTGAGGGGAAAGAGCAAGGTTGATGGGGGAGCAATGCAACCAAAGGACGGGGCAACAGTTCAATCGACTGTTTCACCCAACAGCCACATACACCCCTTTCTCAAATTTCTCAATTTCCCTCCCTTCTGGCCCCATTCCTCACTCTTCCCGATTCCTCACTCCCAAACTCGCCCGCCCCCCATCCACTTCCCAAAACACTCAGCTCCACCAACCACTCTTCCAGCATTCCTCGCCCTTTCCCCCCATTGAAGAGATCCCTCTCTACTCTTTTGTCTGACTGACACTTTGACCTTTCCCATTCGTTGACCTTTAAGGGCATTGCTTTCAGACCTAGCGTTTTGAACTGGTGGGCTGCTGCTTCCTTGGTCGGCACGAGCACGCCAAAGCCGGGCAGCGCAGACGAAACATCCTCCTCGCGGAACGCGTTCACCAGCAGGGCCATGGACTGGTACACGGGCAGCTGGATGGGAAGTTTCTGCGGCTGCCCGGACAGCTTGAAGGGCATGTTGGCGAGAGCGGAAAGAGGGGCCTGGTAGGGGTGGGAGGCCGGGGTCAAAGACGGTGGGAGGTGGTGGGGCGGACGATAGTAAGGTGGTGGTGCTAGATGGTGGGAGGTGGAGGGAGATGGTGGGGAGATGGTGGGGAGATGGTGGGGAGATTGTGGGGAGATTGTGGGGAGATTGTGGGGAGATGGTGGGGAGGTGGTGGGAGATGGTGGGAAGAACAACCATGTGGCAAAAGAGGGTTTGGCATGGCATGCCACATCATGGCAGAGTTAAAAAAAACGATGCAGGTAGGTAACAAGGAAAGAACAACCAAACTCGTATCGCATCACCTCACATCCCCATCCCCATCCTGATCCCCATCCCCATCCCCATCCCCATCCCCATCCCCATCCCCATCCCCATCCCCATCCCCATCCCCATCCCCATCCCCATCCCCATCCCCATCCCCATCCCCATCCCCATCCCCATCCCCATCCCCATCCCCATCCCCATCCCATCCCCACCACCACCATCCCCACCCCCACCCCCACCCCCACCTCTTACCGTGAAAACAACAGCATCCAATCTCTCCGACCCTTCCTCCTTGCCTGCCTTCCCACCTCCCCCCTTGGCACCACCACCCCCATCACCGACCCCGCCCCCACCCCTTACCGTGACAACAACAGCATCGAATCTCTCCCACTGCTGCTCGCCCTTGCCTGCCTTCCCACCTTCCCCCACCACCCCCACCACCACCACCGCCACCACCACCACCACCACCACCACCCCCACCCCTTACCGTGACAACAACAGCATCGAATCTCTCCAACCCTTCCTCCTTCTTCCCGCCCTTGCCCTTGCCGCCACTGCCCCCGTCCCCCACGCGCGTGACAGCGAGGGACCAGGAGGGGCGGTGCGGGGGCGAGTGCAGGTCGCAGGAGAGTGCGTCCACGCGGTGGGAGAGGCGCAGAGCAGAGGCGGGGATCTGAGCCGCGAGGGAGAGCGGCAGCTCCTGTGAAGGGAATGAGGGAGTGCAGTGCAGGCATGCGGTGGGGGAGAGAGAGGGGTGCAGAAAGGGGAAGGCAGAGTACGGAATGGCATGATGGCGAGAGGGGATCATATCATCAGAGCAGAGGAGGGGGTGAGTGCAGGTCGCAGGAGAGGGCGTCCACGCGGTGGGAGAGGCGCAGGGCGGAGGCGGGGATCTGAGCCGCGAGGGAGAGAGGTAGCTCCTGGGGAAGGAAGGAAGGGTGCGGGTTTGCAGCAGGGGAAGGGGGGTGGGGAGGGAGGGAGGAAGGCAGAGGAAGGAGAGGCATGGGAGCGAGAGGGAATCATATCCTCATCAGAGGAGGGGGCGAGTGCAGGTCACAGGAGAAGGCGTCCACACGGTGGGAGAGGCGCAGGGCGGAGGCAGGGATCTGAGCCGCGAGGGAGAGAGGTAGCTCCTGCGATGGGAAGGAAGGGTAGAGATATGTGGTGTGGGGAGAGGGGGTTGCAGAGGGAGGAAGGCAGAGGAAGGAGCGGAATGGGAGAGGTTGGGGCACAAGGAGGTGAGTGCAGGAGTCACCGTGATGCGGCTTTAAACTCCGCCTACTCGTTGTGATTCTTAGAATAAGAATGATTCGCTTTGACTCCTATTCCTCCTAGCTCGTGTGGATCGTAGCTCCTAGTACGTTCAATTGAGCCAGCCCCTTCACAACTGCGGCTTTGCCTCTGCGTAACAGCAGCCCTGGTCGTGCCAGTAGCAGCGCCAGTGGCAGCAGCAGCAAGAGACAGAGGCAGCGAGAGGCAGAGGCATCTAGAGGCAGGCAAGACAGAGGCCTCGCCTGAGGGTGGGAACACACCTGCATGCCGGATTGGAAGGAGAATGAGACGCCCTTGGGCCGTGGAGCGAGGGCCTTGGACGCTCCAGGTGATGCTGCCGTGCTGCTCTGCTGCTTGGCCTGCTGCTTCCTGGCCTTGGCCTTGGCCATCTGAGTCTTGACCATTCCCACCAGCAAAGAGCCGTGCCTGTTCACGGCATGACACACACGGGCAGATCCACACATGCGCGCAGACATGCAGGTGTAGATGCGGATGCACAGGCACATGGACAAAGACATGCACAGGCACATGCACAGGCACATGCACGTGCACATGCACAGGCTCATGCACATGCACACGCACACGCACATGCACACGCACATGCACATGCACACGCACATGCACATGTACATGCACATGCACACGCACACGCACATGCACACGCACACGCACATGCACATGCACACGCACATGCACATGTACATGCACATGCACAGGAACATGCACACGCATAGGCACAGGCACATGCACATGAATGCATGCACCTTCTCACATCCAGAATCACACATGCACGGAAACACATAGGAGAAGAGCTGCGTGAACATGCATGCGCGTACCATGTCTAGTCTAAGGACCACAGGTCCTAGACACAACACATGTGTGCGTGCTGAGAGTCCGAAAGCAAGAAGGGGGAAGTGAATGTGGAAGTGAATGTGGAAGTGAATGTGGAAGTGAATGTGGAAGTGAATGTGGAAGTGAATGTGGAAGTGAATGTGGAAGTGAATGTGGGCACTCGTGAGGCTGAAGGGAGATGATAGCACAAGAAGGGGGTGGCATACTGGAGTGCACGGCCGCAATGGTCACAGCACTGGTAGTATTTTTGTGTACACATAGACGTGTGTGCGTGTGTGCGTGCCGGGTGGGTGGATGCGTGCGTGCGTGCGTGTGTGAGTGCGTGCGTGCGTGCGTGCGTGCGTGCGTCAAGCGTGAGTGCAGCGCAGGGTGCAGGCAAGCCACCCCCTCCACCCCACCCCTGCACTCACTGCTGCTCCAGCTCCCACACCTCGTGGAACGCATGCTTCATCTGCAGCACAGCGCACAGGCCAAGGGGACACGGCGGGGGAGAGAGAGGCGGGTGAGGGTTGAGACGGGGGAAAGGAGGCTTGTGCGGAGAAGATGATGAAGGTGATGGAAGCGGCTTTGAGATGGTGTTGAAGTGTACAGAGGGGGAAGCGGCTTTGAGATGGTGTTGAAGTGTACAGAGGGGGAAGCGGCTTTGAGATGGTGTTGAAGTGTACAGAGGGGGAAGCGGCTTTGAGATGGTGCTGAAGTGTACAGAGGGGGAAGCGGCTTTGAGATGGTGCTGAAGTGTACAGAGGGGGAAGCGGCTTTGAGATGGTGCTGAAGTGTACAGAGGGGGAAGCGGCTTTGAGATGGTGCTGAAGTGTACAGAGGGGGAAGCGGCTTTGAGATGGTGCTGAAGTGTACAGAGGGGGAAGCGGCTTTGAGATGGTGCTGAAGTGTACAGAGGGGGAAGCGGCTTTGAGATGGTGTTGAAGTGGGAAGCGGCTTTGAGATGGTGTTGAAGTGTACAGAGGGGGAAGCGGCTTTGAGATGGTGTTGAAGTGTACAGAGGGGGAAGCGGCTTTGAGATGGTGTTGAAGTGTACAGAGGGGGAAGCGGCTTTGAGATGGTGTTGAAGTGTACAGAGGGGGAAGCGGCTTTGAGATGGTGTTGAAGTGTACAGAGGGGGAAGCGGCTTTGAGATGGTGTTGAAGTGTACAGAGGGGGAAGCGGCTTTGAGATGGTGTTGAAGTGTACAGAGGGGGAAGCGGCTTTGAGATGGTGCTGAAGTGTACAGAGGGGGAAGCGGCTTTGAGATGGTGCTGAAGTGTACAGAGGGGGAAGCGGCTTTGAGATGGTGCTGAAGTGTACAGAGGGGGAAGCGGCTTTGAGATGGTGTTGAAGTGTACAGAGGGGGAAGCGGCTTTGAGATGGTGTTGAAGTGTACAGAGGGGGAAGCGGCTTTGAGATGGTGTTGAAGTGTACAGAGGGGGAAGCGGCTTTGAGATGGTGTTGAAGTGTACAGAGGGGGAAGCGGCTTTGAGATGGTGTTGAAGTGTACAGAGAGGGAAGCGGCTTTGAGATGGTGTTGAAGTGTACAGAGGGGGAAGCGGCTTTGAGATGGTGTTGAAGTGTACAGAGGGGGAAGCGGCTTTGAGATGGTGTTGAAGTGTACAGAGGGGGAAGCGGCTTTGAGATGGTGTTGAAGTGTACAGAGGGGGAAGCGGCTTTGAGATGGTGTTGAAGTGTACAGAGGGGGAAGCGGCTTTGAGATGGTGTTGAAGTGTACAGAGGGGGAAGCGGCTTTGAGATGGTGTTGAAGTGTACAGAGGGGGAAGCGGCTTTGAGATGGTGTTGAAGTGTACAGAGGGGGAAGCGGCTTTGAGATGGTGTTGAAGTGTACAGAGGGGGAAGCGGCTTTGAGATGGTGTTGAAGTGTACAGAGGGGGAAGCGGCTTTGAGATGGTGTTGAAGTGTACAGAGGGGGAAGCGGCTTTGAGATGGTGTTGAAGTGTACAGAGGGGGAAGCGGCTTTGAGATGGTGTTGAAGTGTACAGAGGGGGAAGCGGCTTTGAGATGGTGTTGAAGTGTACAGAGGGGGAAGCGGCTTTGAGATGGTGTTGAAGTGTACAGAGGGGGAAGCGGCTTTGAGATGGTGTTGAAGTGTACAGAGGGGGAAGCGGCTTTGAGATGGTGCTGAAGTGTACAGAGGGGGAAGCGGCTTTGAGATGGTGCTGAAGTGTACAGAGGGGGAAGCGGCTTTGAGATGGTGCTGAAGTGTACAGAGGGGGAAGCGGCTTTGAGATGGTGTTGAAGTGTACAGAGGGGGAAGCGGCTTTGAGATGGTGTTGAAGTGTACAGAGGGGGAAGCGGCTTTGAGATGGTGTTGAAGTGTACAGAGGGGGAAGCGGCTTTGAGATGGTGTTGAAGTGTACAGAGGGGGAAGCGGCTTTGAGATGGTGTTGAAGTGTACAGAGAGGGAAGCGGCTTTGAGATGGTGTTGAAGTGTACAGAGGGGGAAGCGGCTTTGAGATGGTGTTGAAGTGTACAGAGGGGGAAGCGGCTTTGAGATGGTGTTGAAGTGTACAGAGGGGGAAGCGGCTTTGAGATGGTGTTGAAGTGTACAGAGGGGGAAGCGGCTTTGAGATGGTGTTGAAGTGTACAGAGGGGGAAGCGGCTTTGAGATGGTGTTGAAGTGTACAGAGGGGGAAGCGGCTTTGAGATGGTGTTGAAGTGTACAGAGGGGGAAGCGGCTTTGAGATGGTGTTGAAGTGTACAGAGGGGGAAGCGGCTTTGAGATGGTGTTGAAGTGTACAGAGGGGGAAGCGGCTTTGAGATGGTGTTGAAGTGTACAGAGGGGGAAGCGGCTTTGAGATGGTGTTGAAGTGTACAGAGGGGGAAGCGGCTTTGAGATGGTGTTGAAGTGTACAGAGGGGGAAGCGGCTTTGAGATGGTGTTGAAGTGTACAGAGGGGGAAGCGGCTTTGAGATGGTGTTGAAGTGTACAGAGGGGGAAGCGGCTTTGAGATGGTGTTGAAGTGTACAGAGGGGGAAGCGTGTACTGAGAAAGAGGTGATGGAAGGAGCAGCATTAATGAGTGTGGGACGGCAGGTAGGTGGGGAAGGGAGGGTGGAGAGAAATGGCAGATGAGAGAGCTCACGCAGCATGGTATTGTATAGTATGGTATGACATGGCGTGGTATGGCACGAAGTGGCATGGTGTGGCAAAAAATGGCATGGCGTGGCACAAAATGGCATGGCGTGGCACAACAAAATGTCATAGCATGGCAAGGCACGGCATGTCATAGCATCGCATAGCACGATGCAATAGCACAGGATGGCACGGTGCATGGGCACGGGGAGGCATACAAGGAGGTCGTCAGGGTTGGATCCTGTGGTGCCGGCACAGAAGGGGTCCACTATGTAGTCCACGGGCTGGGAGGGCGGTGGGTGGGTGGTGTGGTTTGCATGTGCATGTGCATGGGGTGCATGTGCATGGGGTGCATGTGCATGGGGTGCACGTGCATGGGGTGCATGTGCATGGGGTGCATGTGCATGGGTGCATGTGCATGGGGTGCATGTGCATGGGTGCATGTGCATGGGGTGCATGTGCATGGGTGCATGTGCATGGGTGCATGTGCATGGGTGCATGTGCATGGGGTGCATGTGCATGGGGTGCATGTGCGGGGTGGAGAGGAAGAGGGAGGAGGGTACTTTTGAGAATTCTCAACAGCTAACTGTCGCATGTACTCCCTAGTGCCGGCACAGAAGGGACCCATGATATGTAGTCCACAAGCTGGGAGGGCGGCGGGTGGATTACATGGGGTGAATCTATCGTGGTTGCAGGATGGAGGGACGATGGGAGGGTTGAGGGGGGGTTGACGTAAGGGAGGAGCGAGAAATGGGAAGGAGAGGAGATGCGGGAATTATGGCCAGAATGGGTTTATGGTGCCCTCAGGGTGTTGTGAGGGTGGTGAAAGGGCGTGGAAGGATGAAGCCTTGAGAGAAACAAGGGGAGGGGATGAAGAGCATGAGCGACGAGAGGGGGCGTGCAAGGGAGGATAGTGTCTCTCTGGGAAGGGATCACCAATGTGTAAAAAGTGATTTTTTGAGACGTCTCAAAAAATCACTTTTCACAAGTGTCTTTCTGGGAAGGGATCACCGATGCAGGCAACAGGCTGGAATGGTGGCGTTCGGAGTGAGGGAGAACGATGCATGTGTTGCATGTCGCATACATTGCGGATGTATGCATGTGTTGGCGCGTGCATGCATGCATGCATGCATGCATGTTGCCCTCACATGGTGCATAAAACACGAGGGCACATGCGTCACTCACCTCCGGCCCCACATGTCGCTCCAGAAAGCTCCGCACACTGAGACAGAGAGGGACGGGCACAGAGCGAAGGATGAGGGCATGAGGGCATGGAAGCATGGGGGCATGTCAGCATGGGGGCATGGGGGCATGAGGGCAGGAGGGCGTGAGGGCGTGGGGGCATAAGGGCATGAGGAAAATACTTCAGCAAATGCACATACCCTGTGCAACTGTCTGCACGCCCTTCCACCATATCCCCCACCACATCTCCCCCCATCCAACCACCCCTCCCTCCACCCCCCACTCCATCATTCCGCCAGCCAACATATACCCTTTCAACAGCACCCAACCATCCTTTCCCTCCCAATGCTTCCCCGTCCTTGCCCCCCTTCCCCCAGCCGCACCTCTCCTCGTCAGCATTGGCCCCGGGCGGCAGTCGCTTCCACAGCAGCGGCTCTGCTAGCATGCGCAGCTGAGGGGGAGAGGGGGAGGGAGAGGGGGGGATGTGTGTGAGGGGGAGAGGAGGGGAGAGAAGAAGGGAGGAGGGGTAGGGGAGAGGGATTCGGGACGCGCGAGGTGGAAGAGGAAGGTGAGGGGAGAATGAGGTGGGGGGAGAGGAGGTGTGCACAGGAGAGGAAAGTGGAGGGATGGAGGAGGGGAGGGAGGAGCAGAGAGAAGGGGTGTGGGAAAGGGAGGGAGAGAGGAGGGAGAACGGGAGTGACAATGAAGAGAGAAGATAAAACTAGAAGTAGAGGCCTGAAAACGAGGAGAGAAGGATAAACGAGTGCGTGTACATAAGGTTGGAATTTCAAGCAAGAGGGAGAGGAGAGGAGAGGTGCAAAGATTGGTGTGTGGAAGGGAGGGGGGTTGAAGGGGGGGAAGTGGTCGGTCACGCAACCGCCATACATTTCATCCCCCCACGCAGACACCCAAACGCCCGTACCCACATGCAGACACGCACCCATACACCCACCCACCCACACACCCACCCACACACCCACCCACCCACCCATGCTCCCATGGCCCCCCATATCATGCCCCGTGTTCCCATATTCCCATGCCATGCACCCAGGAGCACCTTGGCAGGGAGCGAGAGGAGAGGCGTGGTGAGGAACTCAGGCAGACTGCCCGGGAGCTGTCGTGGGGGCAGGGGGGAAAGGGGAGGCCAGAGGACGCACGGGGGGCACGAGGAGCAAGAGGGGCAAGGGGGGCACGGGGAGAACGGGGGGCAAGGGGGGCAAGCGGGGCATGGGGGACACGGGGGGCAAGGGGAGCAAGGGGGGCAGGGAGTCAGGGAGGGCAGGGAGGACAAGGGGGGCAGGGAGGGCAACGGGGCATGAGAGCGAGAAGGGCGGCCAGAGGGGGAAGGAGAGAGCAAAGGGGAGGGAAGGGGGACGAGGATAAGGACGAAGAGAAGAGAGGTAGTGAAATGGCGGTTTGCGGATGGAGACACGGGTGAAAATGAATGTGACGGGTGAGAAACGAATGTACTTGCGACGATTTAGAATGAGAAGGTGGGAGTGATGGAAGAATGGAGCGGTAATAAACAAAAAGTGGAAAGAGAAGGGTTAAGAAGGGTGGGAATGGGAAGTAGTGCAAAGGTAAGCACTTTCCAGGAATTAACAGGGTGTTCCAACAGTGTGAAGGTTGCTGTTCTGTGCACTTTCATCCCATGCCCTCTTCCTTTCCCTTCCCCCCAGTGCCCCTCCCATCCCCATCCCCATCCCCATCCCCATCCCCATCCCCATCCCCATCCCCATCACCATCCCCATCCCCATCCCCATCACCATCACCATCACCATCCCCATCCCCATCACCATCACCATCACCATGGGCACCCACCAGTGTAGGCTTGCCGTTTTTCACTATGTAACGCTTGGACTGCTCCTGAGGCTAGTATCATGAGAATATGCAGCACGTGTGCACATGCATGCACATGGACACACGTATACGATGCCACATGCACACACACATGCACACACACATGCACACATACACACAAACACATGCATGCGCGCACGCACGCACACACACACACACACACACACACTCACGCACGTACGCTCACACACATGCACACACACACACACACACACACACACACACACACACACACACACACACACACACACACACACACTCAGCACGCACGCTCACACACACACAAACTCACGCATGCACGCTCACACACACACACACACTCGCGTAAACACACACACACACACACACACACACACACACACACACACACACGAGCGTGCGCGTGCGAGCTCACTCATACACGTGGCAAATGCACATGCATAAGAAAGCTCATGCACATGCACACAGATGCACAGACGAACAGGAGATGAGAAGAACATATTCAACATGGGCGGTACGTAAGACCGGCAGGGACGTCTGATAGGCAAGCGCAGCATAATGAACATGTGTGTGTGATCAGCATGTGCCATGGCCATGTGTTGTCGAAAGGTGCAATGACCTCCCCCACTCCCCTCTCTCACCAGCACCACTCAGTCGTGCAGCCCCAGGTCGTCTATTATGCGATGACACACATGTTCATTCAGGCATGTGTGAACCCACGGCCACTGCTCTCACCACCCCACGGCCACTGCTCTCACCAGCACCACTCGGTCGTGCAGACCCAGGTCGTCTATTATGCGCCCCACTAGCGGCTCGTTCTCCATCTGCAGGAGGGGGTGGGGGGGGGTGGGGGGAAGGGGGCAATGCCATGGGCCGGAGAGAGGAGGAGAGGGAGTGAAAAAGGTGAGGGAGAGAAGGGAGGTAAGGGGCACAAGGGAGGGTGAGGGCAAAGAGGGGATGGGAGATGGCAGTGTCGAGGCGGAACAGCACGGAGGAAATAGAAGTGATGGGTAGCGAGCGGTGTCACTGGTCAGTGAGTGGTGGCAATGCCAAAGAGTGGTACGGGTGGCAGGCGCAGCGCAGCGCAGGCAGTGGCATGCGCGTCCAGAGCGTGGAACGCACACACTGGTCGCGGGGTGTTTAGAGTGGAGACTCATCAAGTCGAACTACAGGTGCACTGGCACAGTGCCCTGCCCTCACACCAACTTAACTTCGTCCATCCAACCACTCATATGTGCCTCTAGATTTACTCAATCGTTTATCCGCGCAATCCACCCACAACTCAAGCTGTTTGCCACTCTACTGAGTCCGCGTCACCACCACCCACCCACCCACCCACCCAAACGCACCCTGCTGCTATCCGCCACCGCACCCCATCATCCCCCACCCAACCGTCCCCTTGTCCCATCATCATTCCTCACCCAGTCCCCCATTCCCCTGCCAGACGCCCACGTTCGCACCATGGTGTTGGCGCCGGCGTCCCATCCCATTGCAAGGCGTCTTTTCAAGCACCTCAACACCCCCCCCCCTCCCTCCCCTCCCCCCCCACCCACATCCCACACACGCACCCACCATGGTGTTGGCGCCGGCGTCCCATTGCAAGGCGTCTTTTCAAGCACCTCAACACCCCCCCCCCCCTCCCTCCCCTCCCCCCCCACCCACATCCCACACAGGCACCCACCATGGTGTTGGCGCCGGCGTCCCATTGCAAGGCGTCTTTTCAAGCACCTCAACACCCCCCCCCCTCCCTCCCCTCCCCCCCCACCCACATCCCACACAGGCACCCACCATGGTGTTGGCGCCGGCGTCCCATTGGAAGCCCTGCTGGCGGTGCGACCAGAGCTTGCCGCCCACGCGCGCGTCCGCCTCGTACACCACCACCTCCGCGCCCCCCTGCTGCAGCCGCCACGCCGCCGCCAACCCGCTGCGCAGGGGGGTGGATGGTGGGGTGCGATGGTGCTCGGACGCGCCCGCCCGCGCCCATCATGGTTCCGCCGCGGCCACGGTGGTAGTTGCGGATGGGGCGGGGGAAGAGGAGGGGGGCGGGGAGGGGGAGGGGGCGGAGGAGGGGGAGGGGGAGGGGGAGGGGGAAGGAAGCAGGGGGAGGGGGCAGAGGGTTGGGAGGAGGGGAGAGTGGAAGGAGAGGCGGAAGTGAGGGTTCTGTCTTGGATGGAGTGGGAAACGAGAAACGCATGGAGCAGGTAAGCAGCAGCAACAGGAGTGTCGTGCTTGCTAGTCTACACTGCAGCAATCCATGCATGGCACGCTCTCAACTGCCTCAATCCCTCGAACATGACGTTGACCGAGGTTGACCCGCGTTGACTCACCTGACCCCTGCTCCAATGACCGCCACTCGCCCCAGCGGCGGGGTTGCTGCTGTTGCTGCTGCTGCCGCTGATGCTGGCGATGTGGGCGGGGGAGACGTAGGGAAGACAGGCATAGCGGCGGGAGAGAAAGAGGGAGACGGTGGGAACAAAAGAGTGAGGAATGATGCGCACTAACGTTAACCTTCCTCTCATCGCTACCGCTGCCGTTCGGGTGCAGGCAGCTATCTGGCCCGTAGCCGCATCGACCCTCCTCGTTCCTATACAACCATCTCCACCACCACGCACCACGCCGCGTGTATGAGCGGCCGGTGGGTGTGGGCATTTGCCTGTTCTTCACCTGGAATCTCAGACGGCGCGGCTGGGTGGACAGCAGGCGCCTTAGAGGGCTCTTTGAAAGGGCCTGGGCGAGGCATGCTGGACGAATGAGGTGGCGAGCTCAGGGAAACGAGGAAAATGTTCACATGAAATGTGCTGGAAAATATGCGAAGAAAATGTGTGATGTGAAATTGTGGAAAGGAGCTATGAAAATGAACAAAAAATTAAAAAAGTCTCAGCAACCCGGGGATGTAGCTCAGATGGTAGAGCGCTCGCTTAGCATGCGAGAGGTATGGGGATCGATACCCCACTTCTCCAAATTTTCGGCGAGCTGTCAGATTTTTTCCATCGCGAGCTTACTCTGCATTGTCGTTATTAAGTTGCGAACTCATTGCACGCGGGGATAGCTCAGTTGGGAGAGCGTCAGACTGAAGATCTGAAGGTCGCGTGTTCGATCCACGCTCACCGCACATTTTGTTGGCTGTCAGCCTGGCAGAAGCCTTACATGTATATCATGCAGGCCTACATATGGAGGTATTCCCCCCTACGAGAGTTGGAGGAACCCAATGAGAGTTGCCCTCCCACGTGTAAAGGGAGTTTTAACGGTATGGGGTGTCCAGTGCGTACGTTCACAGTTTGTTTACAGTTCAACCGTCCTGGTTCACAACGATATCAGACACTGCAGAGGTTCGTGTAGGGGTTTCCAATATTCACAAAGCTGATATGGTACCGTACATCGGGTGATCAAGCATTTCCTTCACGTTTGATCATTTGAACTTCCCCCCAGCTCCAAGCATTGCAGCAAACATGGTTCTGTGACAGTGAAATTGGAGGGAGGGTGTGTAGCAGACGCATGGGTGGGGGCGTCTGTAGCATAGGCATGGGAGGACGGGTCTGTAGCAGACGCATCAAATGGGGCGTCTGTAGCAGATGCATCGGACGGGACGTCTGTAGCAGAGGCATGGGTGGGGGGCAGCAGAGCCTGCAGCAGCACGTGGCGGAGGGCAGGCAGCGAGGCAGCAGCATGCAGTGCTGCTCTCAGCTCCCACCCCCTGCGGTATGCACCCTGGTGAGCAAAGGACACCGACCGACCTGCTTGGAACACACGGGGTTGGGGATGGGGGACGGGGGGAAGAAGGGAGGGAAGAGAGTGGGGGGTTGGGTTGGTTGAGGCGCCTAAAAAATGCGATACACACCTTGTGGGTGAAGCCTGAAGGACAGAGACTGACCTGCTTGGGCTTGGGGCACAGGGAGGGGCGGATTCTGAGGCGCCCCTAAATTGTTCTCAGCTCCCACAGAGGGGGAAGGGCGGGGGAAGGGGAGGTGGAGTGGAGCGTCGATGCATGTAAAGAGGAGTGGTTGGAACTTGGAGAGGGACATGGGAATTCGGGAGTGGGGGTTGAGATGGCGAATGGTCGGCACGGAAGGCACATAGGCGAGAGGAGGCGAAGGTAGAAGATTCTGGAAGAGATAGAGTATGGGGAGGGAGAGAAAAGAGCGAGTGGGGGAAGGAGAACTGGGAGAAGGGTAGTGGAGGAGGTGGGGGCAGGGGAAGAGGCAGGGGGGAAAGGGGACGGGGGAGGGGGAGAAGTGTATAAAGCAGAAATAAATCAGAATTGGAACTCCAGCCGCCCAATGCCCCTGTCCTTTATCTACACTCCTACTGCTACCCCCTTATTACCTGCCCCTCGCCGCCCGAGCATGTACTCCAGATGCAGACGAATGCCGGGCCAGGTTACCGAGCCTGACTCCACCGAGCCTAGCTGCTCGCATAGGGAGAGGTACTCTAAAGCCACTGAGAGGCGCTCCTCTTGAGAGGAGATTCCCCCGCTGAAGATCTTGGGGTCGTGTAACAAGCCCTCTGCTGACATGGCACCGTCTGCCCCAGTGAACGCCAGGTTGGCTGCCACATCAGCAGGTGACGAGATGTTGCCGTTGCTGAGCTGGCACAGGAAGCAGGGAGACGAAGAAGAAAATGCAGATAAGTAGGCGGAGGATAGTGTTGGGAAACGGAGGAAGGAAATCTGGAATGGAAAAGACGGGATGAAGAGGAGGACACACAGTGACATGACATGACAATTCCATGTCATTGCAGTGACGTGGCATGGCAGCACTGACCACGGAGATGGCCAGCGCCTGCTTGACAGCTCGCACGGCTGCCAGGTCAGCAGGGCCCACTCGCCTTTTCACGGTTCCAGCTGGCGTGCGCGCGTGCAGTGCAATGAGCGCGCAGCCGGCGTCCTGTAGGCCCCGACAGAGGGCGATGGTCTGATGGGGGGGGAGGAAGTGGGTGGGGGAGGTGGGGGGGTACGGAGGGATGGGGGGGGAGGGGGAGTAGTAGTATGGCGGGGAGGGGGGAAGGAAGTTGCATCATGGGCGAGGGAGAATGGATGGGTGGTGAAAATCAGACTTCTGTGGAGAAGCCGGAGGGGGGGGGGGGGGGGGGGGGGGGGGCAACGGAGGGGCAAAAGAACAAGCTTCTGCTTGCAGGAATGGTTTCTGAGATTGGGTAGACGAGAAGATTTGGACGACTGGGTGTGAAACAGAGCCTGCTTGCTTTGCGAGCCAACCAGCACACGGTTTGCAAGCGGGCGAGGCACGGCACGGCATTGAAGAGCATGAGGCAGGACGCGAAGGGGGTGGTGGAAGGGGTGGGGGGAGGAGCTTCACGGGTGTTTAGCTGACTATGGATTCGGCAGGCAGCAGTTTTGACATATGTGGCAACAGGAGGGGGAGCAGAGAGACGGTAGAGCGCACTGGTGGGAGGCAGGGAGAATCACGTGGGGCAGGGAGGGCACACCTGGGGCAGGGAGGGCACACCTGGGGCAGGGAGGGCACACCTGGGGCAGGGAGGGCACACCTGGGGCAGGGAGGGCACACCTGGGGCAGGGAGGGCACACCTGGGGCAGGGAGGGCACACCTGGGGCAGGGAGGGCACACCTGGGGCAGGGAGGGCACACCTGGGGCAGGGAGGGCACACCTGAGGCAGGGAGGGCATGAGGCGGATCTTGCAGAAGATTGGGATGGGCAGGAGCGATGCCATGGCTCGCACCATGGCAAACACCAGCGGCAGGTCCTGCTCAGGGCGCGGACATGGGGCACATGGGGCATGGGGCATGGCGCACGGCGCATGGGGCATGGGGCATGGGGCATGGGGCATGGGGCATGGGGCATGGGGCATGGGGCATGGGGCATGGGGCATGGGGCATGGGGCATGGGGCATGGGGCATGGGGCATGGGGCATGGGGCATGGGGCATGGGGCATGGGGGAAGGAACAAGGACGGAAAGGAAGCATCAGATCAGGGCAGCGGCTGAGTGAGGAAAGAGGAGGTAGCGCGCAATGGGGCAGAGGGGAAACAGCGGACGGGCGAGATGAGCATGGAGACGCAGAGCACAGCACAGCTGGAACAGGCACCATTCTCATCCCCACCCATCACCCATCACCCGTCACCCGTCATCCCCCACCCCCCACCGCCCACCCCCCACCGCCCACCCCCCACTCCCCACCCCACACCCCCCACCGCCCATCCCCCACCCACCCCTCACCCCTCACCCTGAGGCTTACCCTGGCCCACCCGCTTCTAGGAGGAGCATGGTGAACAATGGCCATTATATGGCTACACACGTGCACCTCAACTCAATCAGACTCTCCACCTCAACTCCCGGCTCTCCCGTTCTACTGACTGACCCTTCCAGTTACCCCCGTCACGACCGCGCGTGCCTGCCAGTCACCATTCGAGCATCAAAGACTCCATTCCTGCATCGCCCTACGTTTGAGGGCCTTGTTCGTATCGCAATGACCTTATCATTGAGGAGGTACGCCCCGTAATGCCCCTGCTTGGCGCGCAGCTGGGGGCACCCCAGGTTCACGTCGAGGGCCACCAGGGGGGAGGGGGGGAGAGGGGGAGGCGAGAGGCGCAGCAGAGATGGGGCTAGGCGGGGCGGTGACGCCTGTGTGCCACTTGTCATGCACTCGCCAGCGCCGTCACCATACCCACCGCACCAGCTCCCGCTGCTGCTGCTGCAGGTGCTGCTGCTGTTGGCTATGCCGCTGCTAGGGCACCTGAATTGGATGTCGTTGTGGCTACAGCCTGCAGTGGAAGCACAGGAAGAGGGGGAAGGCGAGGCATGGGATGGGAGGCACACGAGGCCACCAGTGCCGTGCAGGCATGAAGAGAGAACAGCAGCAACAGAAGGACGTGCATGTGCATGTGCATGTGCATGTGCATGTGCATGTGCATGTGCATGTGCATGTGCATGTGCATGTGCATCGCAAGTGGGTAGGTGCCACCACTGGCACAGCCAACACCGCCCGCCCGTCCACCACCTGTACCTCCCTGCCCACCCAACCTTCCTTTTCCACTCAATCTCAGCACATCATCCCACCCCACCTGCTGCGCTCACCACTCTCCAACTGCTCCCTGCCGCCCGCTTCTCTCTCGTTTCCCGCTTCGTCCCCCTCCTCGGCCTCCCTGCGTTCACTGCCACAGCGCTTGGCTGCACCGTACCGCTCGCAGGCATCGCCACGCCTGCATCGTTGTTGCTCCTCCTCCTCCGTGACCGCTCCGTCTTCCCCACTCTGTACCCGCCCCTCCCCCAACCCCCACAACTCATCCAGCCTCTCACCCCCTTCACCTTCACATACGCGTCCCGCTGCTCCTCCTCCTCCTCCTCCTCCTCCTCCTCCTCCTCCTCCTCCTCCTCCTCCTCCTCCTCCTCCTCCTCCTCCTCCTCCTCCTCCTCCTCCTCCCTCCCTTCGTTCTACCTCTGCCGCTTCCCCAGCTTCAGTTCCCGTCTCGTTCGATTCCCCTCGTCGCCCCATCCTCCCGTTTTCCCCACTCGCCTTCGCCGCTTTCGCCTCCTGTGTTCCCCCCGCCCGCTCTCGCTCCTCCTGCGCGCCTTCCTCCGTGCGCCCCACCCGCCCAGCCTGCGCCATTTGCCCCGCGCGCCCCGCGCGCGCCATGTGCGCCAGCACCGCCCAGCCCGCGCGCACCATCTCCGCGGGGTCGTTGCCCGCCAGCTGCGCGACCAGCGGCCCGTCGCACGCGTGCGACTGCAGCGCGCGCGACAAAAAGCCTGGGTCGCTCAAAATCGCGTCGCTGGGCGACGGCGGGGAGGAAAAGGGGGGGACGGGCTCCCGGGAAGGGAGAGAGAAGGGGGGGGAGGAGGAGTGGAGGAGGGAGAGATGAACGGACGTGGAACGAGAAGACTGAGACAAGAGCATGCTCTTAACAGCGGTCTTGCGCCATGTGCCATGTGCCATGTGCCCAATGCAGGAACACGGTCACGCAACGACGCGAAGTGTTTTTAACAGGTCTTAATATTGCCATCCGCGGATTCTAGGGAGACTCTCCACGAACAGACCTGTGGAGCATCTCCGTGTACGCGATAGTAGCTCCGTAGCGGCGGCACAAGAGGCGGAACGGCAGGTCGCTCTGCCCCACCATGGGCGCGACAGCGTAGCGCACGTCGAAACCGAGGGGTTGGGATTTCCGGCGCGCACTCCCCGCCATGTTGCCTCGTGAGTCGTGACGTTCGCTTAGCGGAGCGCGAATGCTAGTAAGGCGCAAGGGGACGAGCGCAAGGAGCGCGTGAAATCCTCGAGCCTCGAAGGTCGCGAGGAGAGATACGTTGGTTCAAGAGGTTCAAACTTGAACCTGGAACTCATAGCACCGTGATGCCATCCCGCCATCATGGTTACTGAACCGCCATTTCGTGCTTTCAGGTGGATCTTTTGTGCGCAACACGTGTGCCTCCCTGTCCATTTTCAGCGGAACACATCGACATCCGCGTTGCAGCATGTGCTGCCAACCTTGATTTCGAAATACAGTAAGAGCATTTCAGCTCAGGAACTAAAATTTTATCGCAGTAGCCAACAAGGAGTACAGGGTTTCTATCAGGTCAAAGCCATTTCACCACCTCAGCAGGTTTTCCTTCTCGCTCTCACCACCCGTGCATTCTGCTCTCTCTCTCTCTCTCTCTCTCTCTCAAGCATCAACCCCACCCTCAGAAGCTTCTTGTGGTGCTTTGGATTCCAATTCAGCGAGTAGCAGAAGCACCCACAGTCGCCATCTGGCGATGGAATGGTGCTTGACCTGAGCGGAATTCTTGAATCCGTGGCTTGCTAGCTTCCTCGAAGCCTTTCTCTCAAGCAGCGACGACGCCACACACACCCGGCGAGTTTGCCTGGGTGGCTTGGGCTCATCTCGTGCATCGACGAGCCAACGTGACTTCTTGAGTCGACTCGAAATTTCTCTTAACCAGCGACAGAAGCCACACCCGGCGAGTTTGCGTGGGTGGCTTGGGCTAAGCTCATGCCTCGACGCGCCAACGGCGGGAGGTCCACGTGGTTGGTTGGAGCTCTCGCGATGTTTCGTGATGCTGATGGTGACGGCTCGGTTACTGCTCGACGCCGCAATTTGTGCTCCGAAAGGCGCCATGGATGGTACTCCAATGTAGTATCTCCCGACGGCTCGAGGCGCGATCATGCTGCATATTTAAACGGCAGACGCGAGGACCGTTACCATCGCATTCAACAGACGAGAATTCCAAGAGTCAAATCACTGCTGATTCAGAATTCATTCGCCTACTTTTAGGGTTCTCCAGCTTCCATCCACACCATCCGTTTTTAAACTAGTAGGGATTCTGACTTCATCAAATGGCGAGCCAAAAGTTCCTTTTCGCTTCGCTTCTCGTCCTGCTGGCCGTTCTTCTCAGCATCTCCGACTTTCCTTCTGCTCACGGTACGATTGTCTTGCTCAATTACCCCAAAACATTGAAGCATCCAATGATCTGATCCCATCACGTAGGCATGGCTTTTAAGTTTCGTATGAAGAAAAGCACTATTCGCGAGCAACATTAAAACATCTACCTTTTTCCCTTCCAGGTGCACGAGCTCCCTTCAGGGGCGTTGCATCCCCCGCTACAGTCACACAGAGGAGGGTGCTTCACAGCTCGTCCAAGACATGCACGGACAAGTACGAGTCGAAGCTGCAGAGGTGCCAGGACAAGGAGACGCAGTGCATAGACCGCGCGCGCGACTGGCGGCACGAGCAGAAATGCACAGAGAAGCGCGGCGAGTGCGAGTGGGATGCGAACGATGCTTTCAACGAGTGCCAGGAGGAGTGCGTTGAGAAGTGTGATGAGCAGCTGAACGAGTGCTATGATGACCACGACAACCATCACGACAGCCGCAAGTGCGACAGGAAGGACCAGAAGTGCCGTGATAAGTGCAACTAAATGAACTGAACTGAAGGGGAGCAGCAGAGGGAGGGAGGGAGGGAGGGAGCAGTAGAGGGAGGTAGGGAGGGAGTTGTAGGTGAGGGAGGTGCAGCAGGGTTTGCTCGTAGTGTGCCTTTTTTTTGGGATGTGAGTGATGGTTTTGGGTTTACGTTCTGGTGTCTGGGTTGGGTTGGGTTGGGTTGGGTTGTGTGTTTTATGTGTCTGTTATTGCCTTACCGTATGATTGTATATACCGTACCTCCACACCCCATGGTGTCTCAGCATGGCCACATCAGAGCAGAGCAACGTTGTTATGCATGCAGGGCAGGGCATGCTTTGCTTGCTAGGTACTATAATTCACAGTGCTTTGAGTGGGGTACAGTATCAAAGACCTTGCATGCATGCAGGAGGTAGGGTTGGATGTGGATCAGGCCCAAGGAGCACGTGCAGATCCAATCTGGTCAACCGTTGTACCACAGCATGCATTTTTCTAACACACGATATTCAGCAGCAAGATCAGGAAACGTTGCTTTCACATGCTGCCATACCATCCTCAGCAGCAGCAAGTGCTGCTGAGCTTCGACATTGACTGCAGCAATCCAGAAACAACTCAATAAAAAAGAAACCTCCGTTCCAGGGCTTCAGATTGGTTTTGGCCGACCCTGGGTGATCAGGGTACGAGACCAAGTGCACCCTGCTGGCTAGGGTAAATTTTTTTTTAGCCTGTCTTTTGCAGCGTAGTTTTCCCTCTACACTGAGTCAGTCAGTATAAAAAAAAGCCTACACTGTTTTCAACAGCTAATTGTTGAACATACTAAGACTGCAGTCCACATAACTAGCACGTTCAATCTGCATGACGCTAAAGCTACACAAGGCCGACTACCACCATAACTATGATAGGCATTCCCTAGTCAACATCAACAGGGTCAGATCCGTCAGTGGCGCCAGCTGCGAAAAGAGCCTCTCCTGGGTTGGTGCCACTGAAGTCCTTCGTCGACCGCCGCAGCTTCTCTCCCCTAAAAATCGCCACAACCTCGTACCAGTCCACGTCGTACTGGAGGAGAGAGCATCTCATCAGATGCTCGAGGGTCGTGTCAGAGAGGGCGCCCCGCTCCCACGACTTGATGAGATTCTGCTTGCTGAAGCCCCTCTCGCACTCCACCGTGCTCAGAGGTAGCACGGCAACAGCCTGCCACATCCGCATCAGGTTGGGGAAGGAGTGCTGCCATGCGTCATCCCGAAGCATGTTCCCCAGCGCCTGGTGGAAGTCCTCGTCGTTGTGCTGGGAGAACATGGTGGACGTGAACATCCACAGCTCGCTCTGTGCTCTCGTGAAGTCGAATCCTGATGCTCGGGAGAGGGAATTACCAAGGGTATACTTGCAGAAGGCGGGAGGGAGGGGGGTTCTTAAACCAAACAATCAACAGTGCGCAGACATGCGTGCACAACGTCACGACACAGCAAGTCGTATGCAAGCAGGTATTCACGAATCAGGTACTCAAGCAAACCATAGACATGCTTACCTGGCAGTTTGCCGTTGAACAGTTTGTGCAGTTGAGCCAGCCACTTCTTGAAGTTCTCCACCCGCTTTGCATCGTCTGTGACGTATGATGCTGAGCGAAACAGCTTCGACCCCTCCAGATGCTCCAGGTCCCTCATGCGCCACTCCAGCTCCTTGTCGATTTCACGCACAAACTTCAACGACAGCTCGTAACACGCGGTAACATCACCGTCCGTCTCGTGCCCTTTGATTCTCCTCTCGTGCAGCTCGTACTCAAAGGTCACGGGGTTGCCATCACTGTCCACGCCCTCGGCCTTCACCTGCCGCTTGTCCATCTTCTGGTGGCGCTGAATGAACTCGTTGAGAGTCATCTTTTCCCCGCTGCCGAAGTGATGAGTGGGGGAACCGTTGAAATAACGGTTCTTCAGGCGCCAGCGTGTCTGCTGCACCAGGTGCGCCACCAGAGTGATGTCGATCTGCAGAGTTAAAACAATGGAAGGTGTTAGCGACATGTGTCATCGAAACACATTGGGACAGAGCCACAACACGACGGGTATGTGCCAACCATACCTGCCTTTGCTGGAACCGCTGGTTCAGGAAGTTCAGCTCCCAAAGCACGTCTGCAAGCAGGCGAAGCAGCCACTGGAATTTGAATGACGTCGCAATCTCGTACAGATCGGCGTTGTACTCCTTGAGCACCACCATGACTGCAGGAAGGATTTCGAGTAGGCGTCTAACAGCCTCTCCGCGTGACAGCCACCGCACCTCGTGAATGCCTTGAGCCTCGAGGTTGGTTTTGCAGAACACCTGCTGGATGTTGTGGAACTTGTCATACTTGACGTTCGAACGACCGATGAGGTCAGCGAAGCCACGGACCACGTTGTCCACCATGAAGAGCTCGGGTACTGCTTCCGCCGCGTTTTTTGCAGCTAAAGCCTCTCTGAGAATGTCAACAAGGAAGTAGCGTGAGAACGTTGGTATATAACATAAACGAACATCACTGAATTCATGTGAGGTAAGGACCTACCGATGTGCGACGCAGTGTGTTGATGCAAGATGCGGAATCCGCATGCGCAGCCGGGCGACAACAACATTATGCTTCCCCATCATGACATTCGCACCGTCAGTTGACACGGACGATATCTTCTGAAGGTCGACTCCTATACCTGTCAAGTACTGCACCACAGCAGATGTCAATGACGCGGCGTCAGCACGGTCAACTGTGATCAAAGTCAAAAACTCGTTCACCACCACGGTCCCACGGAAAAAAGTCGCGTAGAGGATGAGGTGTTTCCCGTTGACGCGTTCACTACTTTCGTCGAGGGCTAGACCAATCCAGGGTGACTCCAGTAGATGCAACCGCTGAACTTCCTGGAGGTAAGCCGAGATTGCTCGCAGGTTCTCTCTGAAGCCGTATCTGCAGGCCACAAGGTCAACACACAACGTTTAGAACAAATCTTGGGCACATCGAGAGGTATAACAGAAACTAACAGGGGCTTACTCTGTGTAGTAGGCGCCATAGCCGCCACTATTGGGCAGGTCGGGAAGGCCTTCATTCGCCAAGAACCAGCAGAGCGGGATGAACATCGCGATTGGCGCATCCGCCTTGCAGACGAAGAGAGCGATGTGCAGAACGCGAATGATGTGCCTCATCGACGCGTTGGTTGCCTGCCAGCGGGTGATGCTCGCTTGTTTCGCCTTGTCCGCTTCCGCTTCTGCTTGGGCATTCAAGGCGTTCTTGTGGGCTCTCGTCGCGGAATGGGCCCGGACGCTACCGATCTGGAGGTCGCGCCCACCCTCGCCCTTCGCACCGTAGCTTGTGTGAGCGGTGGGGTCTCCATGCTGCACGCAGATGTCGCACTTCAATTTCGCAACACCGTTAGGCAACCGAATCAGACGCAACCACTTGAATTTACCACGCCACTCAGACTCATAGCAGTGCTTTATCGTGTCGTACATAACATCACCAGTAGTTTTTGGCGGCGCGGCATCCTCAGGATCAGCATCACGTTGCGGGGAGGCTGCCTTCCGAGGAGGAGAAGCTCCCCAAAGGCGCTGCTGCTTGTACTTCACAGCGACCCGCGGGCGTTTGACCGGCGTGCTGTTCACGGTAGACGGTGAATCCGCCGGTGGCCTGGACGACCCTTCCCCACCGCCAGGCACAAGAACGATTGACGGGGGCGGCTCGAAGTCAGACGACGTTGATGGAGGTTCGAACGGGTACACGGTGCCTACAGTGTGCACTGGAGAAGCGGGACGTGGCAACGGTGAAATCGGCACGCTATAGGAGTCTGCCAGGCGGGGAAGAACTCCGAGCACAGATAGGCCATTGCGCTCTACAGCAGGCGGATCTTGAGAATGCTCGGCAGGCATGACTGAGGCATGGGCTGGAACCTCGCTAGTGTTACCCTCACGGTGAGAATGAGCAGGAGGAACAAGATGGGGTGTCCTTGGGAGCACACAATGCCCCACCAGACCTGTGATGGCTTGAAAGAGGCCGCAGCGCGTCTCATGCGTGGCTCACGGTGCTTCCTCATGGCTGCCATGACGTGCCCTGTACAGCACGAAACAGCTGCTTCCTGCACCGCTGTGCTGTCGGCGCGCTTGTGGACAAGGCTGGCAGCTGTGAAATGCTGCTGTGGCGATGAATTCATGTTGTGCTGGCAGCATGGCTGCCTCGTCCACCAATGTGGTGGTTTCGCGGCACGTCGCGTGGAAATTCCTCGGGACTGCACCTGTGGTTGAGGTCGTCTTATGTGGGTGTTGGTCCTGCTGTCCTTTTCGCAACGTGTTCATAGCCGGAAATCCTCGGTTGCGAGAAACTCAGTATCAGCGTAACTGAAATCGCACCCTGAACACTCAGGGAAAAAGTTCCATCACACTGTTTTTCAAAGGGGAAAAAAAATCTTACACTTTCTGGCCTAGGGTAAAAATCCCAATACCCTGCCTGTGAAAGGGTAACTGAAAAAAAGCGGCCGCCAGTCAGTGCAAAAAGGGTATTTTACCCTGATAACGAGAGGCCTGCTCCGTTCTCTTCAATGAAAGCATATATAAACTGCTGCCCAGTGCCAATAAAACCCATGCACGAGGCTTGCCTACTCGTGCTTCTCCTTACCCACCTTACCCCTTCCACTCCCCTTATTCCTGCCCCCATCCCTCTCACCCTCCTCCAACTGAAACCCATCCGCGGGCACGCCCCATTGGCACAGGTTGCTGACCACAATCACGGGCACGAGGCACACAAACGCGAGCGTCACAATGAGCGCTTGGTACAGGTACGGGAAGCGGGCGGGCGGAGGCAGCGCCATCTCCGCATAGTGCAGCGCTGCTGCGGCCACCAGCAGCGGGGGCACCACGTATGGCTGTGTGCTTGCCCATGCGGCGTGGAGGAAGGTCAGGAGGCGCTGCCGGGGGTCTTGGTGGTGCTGATGATGGGTCGATGGCGTTGAGGTGGGTGGGGCAGCGGTGGAGGAGGCAGATGAGGTGGAAGCGGAGGAGGGGGGTAAGGAGGAGGGGGAGGAGGGAGGGGGGGAGAGGAGGAGGAAGAGTGCGAGGAGTGCTGTGTAGGCGAGTTCGAGGCGGTCGCGGAGCAGCAGAGGGAACATGCTGAAGAGAGCAACAATGGAGAGCCAGCGGTGCAGGTGCGGGTGGTGCAGGGCTAGCATGCACGTGGGGAGTAGCGGCAGCAGAATGGACTTCTCGTGCACTGGGGGGCAGGGGGAGGGGTAGGGGGTGTAGGGTGTAGGAGACAGGGCGCAGGGGCAGGGAGGATGGGGGCATGATGCACGGAGAGGGGGCGTAAATCATGATGCATAGAGAGGGGGGATAATGCAAGGAGAGGGGGCATGATGCATGGAGCATGTGCGTGGGCATTTGGGCTAGGAAGGAGGGGCAAGAATTGGGGCGAGAGGGAGAGAAGAGATTGGGCAAAGGAGATAAGGAGGAGGCTGTTCACCCTTAGGATTGGATAGAATGAACCTTTGACAAACACACTTAACAGCCCTGACAGGAGACACAAAGACAGGGTGTCAAAAGCACCTGATTCCGCATCAACCACAGCTCTGAATTTCACTTGAGATGGAAACTGGAAAGCATGCAGGCGGCAGGGTGTGCAGCTGGCAGTACCTTGGAAGGCGAAGAAGAAGAATGCAAGAGAGGAGTTGAGCATAGCCATTACCAACCCGTGTGCTGATGGTCGTAGCACCTGGTGCCATGGACACGCAGCAAGTGGGGTGAGGGGATGGGAGAAAGACCATTGGCGATTGTCAGAACCACCCCCCCGCTAAAAAAACCAACAACAAAAAGGGAATGGTCGCGCTTCTGGCCAGTGACTAGTGCAGTAGCAAGGAAGGACAGTGGAGTGTGTGCATCGTGCAATGCGCCTGGGCTTGGCTGCATCATAGGGACCGCATTCACTTGGCATGCGGAATCCTTCACTCCCACGAGACAAGACGGGGGACAGCAGCGTGCGTGCACACGGGGGGGAAGGAGAGGGAAGAGGTGAGGGAGAGGAGAGAGGGGTGGGGGAGTGGGGGGACCGGAGCAGAGAAGCAACGAGAACGGGCAGGGAGGAAGGTGCAGGAGAGGGAGAGAGAGAGAGAGAGAGAGAGAGAGAGAGAGAGAGAGAGAGAGAGAGAGAGGGCACCTGGTGCAGCATGGAGGGCATGGCGGCAGTGACAGTGGCAACAAGCGCCATGCGTGCGAGGAGAGGCGTGGAGAAGAGGCGCTTCCACTTGATGAGCGGCGAGGTTGCACACCAGAAGTTGGCTACATGGTCCTCGTACAGCCCTCGACCCAGGGGGAAGAGCCGCTTTATCACCTGGGAGGTAGGTTGGGTTAGGAAGGGAGCGGGAGGGAGAACATCTTGAGATGCTTCAAGATTCGTGGTCCCCGTACAGGCCGCGACCCAGGGGGAAGGGACGCTGTATAGCCTGGGAGCGGCAGGGAGAAGTGGTAGGGGGAGCGTCTCAAAAAGCGTCGTCCTCGTACAGGCCACGGCCAAAGGGGAAGAGACGTTTTAGCACCTGGCAGGGGAAGGCGGGCGGGGGTTGGGATTGGGAAGGGGGACTCTTTAAGACGCTTCAACAATTGTGTTCCTCATACACAACCCAGGGGGAAGAGCCGTGTTAGCACCTGGCAGGGAAAGGAAGGAGATGTGGGGGGTTGACACGAGGGGGTGACACGAGTGGAGGGAAGCAGCTTTGAACTTTATTCCCGGATGGTATGTAGCTGGGAGATGTTTTGGCAGTGACGCAACCCAGCTTCCCTGGGAAAGGTTGCTTCCAACTGCTGCTACTCCCCTGGTCACGTGGGTTGAAGAGGCACACCAGAAGCTGGTCCCATGGTCCTTGTACAGCCTGCGATCCTTGTAAAGCCCGGGAAAGAGACGCGATCTCTGACAATGAATCATCATCCATGTACGGGCTGCGACCAAGAAAGAAGAGCGGTGCTATCAGCTGGGTAAGGGTGTGTGCGGCATTGAGACGTCTCACGAGTGCGCTGCTTGTACATGCCATGGCCGAGGGGGAAGGGGAGTGAGAGGAGAGAGCAGAGAGGTGTGTGACGAGAAAGGTGAGAAGTGAGGGGGACGAAGAGGCGGGAGAACACAGAGGGGGGAGAAGCGAACGGGGAGAAGGCAAGGGGGGGAAGAGGAGAGCCGTGCGATAGGCTGAGAGAGGGAACAGATTAGCTCGTTTCCGCTGCTTGGCATGTAGCGCGCTAGAAGAGTTGCTCCGAGCTGGTGTTGTGTGGCTCTTGAGCCAGTCCTTCAGACATGTGGGTGGGGGAGGCGTTAACATGGTGCAGAACACACAGACATGCGGGCACGCGGCGCAATGGACGACACAACGCAACGCACAGCCATGTGGACGTACAGCCCGCACACCCAAGGGGAAAGAGCTGGCTGGCGCCAGGCGCTGGCAGGCGGGGATGGGCTGGGAAGGAAGACGAGACATGTGGGCTGTGGAAAGAGCGAATTCTGCTTCTGAGGGTGCTGGAATATGTCATGGACGGAGAGGGAAACAAGTGGGGCGGAAGATGGAGAGGAGTGGAGGGGGAAGGAGAGGTAAAGGCGTGGAAGGAAGCAGGCATGAGGCATAGGTCAGGGCACGTAGAAGTGCGAAACTGAACGTGCTGGAGGGTGGAGTCGGTGGAGTGCAGGAAGGGCCACCAGCAGGCTGCGAAGGAGAGTAAGAGTCAGTCAGGTATTGAGAACACTTGTGTCACTCATGACTAGAGGCACACTGCACGCGGACCTGCAGGGTGGAGTCTGTGGAGTGCAGGAAGGGCCACCAGCAGGCTGCGAAGGAGAGCAGCACGATGGCGGCGAGGGAGAGGAACATGAGCGCTGGGCGGGGCGACTGGCGACAGCGACCCAGCAGATGCGCGAAGAATGCCGGCGCGAAGTAGAGCGCCATCTGTGCTCACATGAGGGGGTGCGGTGGGGTGCGGTGGGGTGGGGAGGGTGGGATGGGGAGGGTGGGGGAGGGTTGAGTCGACTCAGAAGGCCGGCGCGAAGTAGAGCGCCATCTGTGCTCACATGAGGGGGTGGTGGTGGGTGGAAAGAGGGGGGTGGGGTGGATGGGGGGTTTTGAGTTGACTCAACAGTCATATTGGGTCGACTAAATATGCCGGCGCAAAGTAGAGCGCCACCTGGGAGCACATGAGTGGGTGGTGGTGGGTGGGGTGTGGTGGGGGGGGGGGGGGGGGGGGGGGGGGTTTCGAGTCAACTCAGAAGGCCGGCGCAAAGTAGAGCGCCATTTGGGAGCACATGATTGGGCGGGGTGGGGTGGGGTGGAGTGGGGTGGGGTGGGGTGAAGTGGTAAGGCATTGGACGCGATGGTCGGGTGGGTTGGAATAGGGTGGAGTGCGGTGGGATGCAGTGGGGAGCAGGGGAGCAATTGGCAAGCAGCGTGTGGGAGTATGAGAAGCAGGTTGTGCATAGCTATGGCATTGAGCAGTGCAATGATCCGAACAAGAGAGTCATGTCGGCGAACCTGTCATGTCACACACATGAGACGAGTACTCTCATCTCACTCCCGCCACTCACTCAGTCCCCCGTGTGATGAGTCTGTCTTTGAGTGGACTCAAACACAGACCCATCACATGCGAGCCCGGCATGTCAGGGTGCTCTCGTCTCATCTCATCTCACTCCCTGTTACTCAGTGTCCCTCTTGCGGTGTCCTCCTCTCCTCCTTCTATCGCCCCACGCCCCCGCCCCCTCCGCCCTCCTCCCCTACCCTCACCTCACCGCGACTCCAGCCTATCATGCTCACGTGTTTGTGGATGGCGGCGAGGGGGTGAAGAGGCATAGTGTGAATCCGTATGGGGGATAGGGACACATCATACAAGTGAGGGGGAAGAGTAGCGGCACTCACGTGCTTGTGGATGGTGGCGAGGGGTTGAAGAGGCATAGTTTGCGCCCGTATGGGGGTTAGGGACACATCATACAAGTGAGGGGGGAGGGGGGAAGAGTGGCGCTCACGTGCTTGTGGTTTATGGCGAGGGAGAAGAATGCACTGCCTAGCAGGTATCGCCGAGACATGACGGCGGTTGCTCCTGCTAGTGATAACCCCAGGCTGATGCTGTTATACTGTGGCGATTGGGGGCATGGGACAGGGATGGGAGAGAAAAAAACAAGGGAGAGAGTGGCGAGCGAGAGGTGAGAAACTGGTGGTGAGGAAGGGTTGAGAGGGGTGGGGTGGGGTGGGGTGGGATGCCCAACCAAAGGTGATGCTGATCCACTCTGCTGTGGCAGAAGCTGTAATAAAGGGGCGGATGGCGAAAGGGGGGTGGGGAGGCTGTGCGGAAGTGAGAAAAGGGGGGTGGGGAGGCTGTGCGGAAGTGAGAAAAGGGGGGTGGGGAGGCTGTGCGGAAGTGAGAAAAGGGGGGTGGGGAGGCTGTGCGGAAGTGAGAAAAGGGGGGTGGGGAGGCTGTGCGGAAGTGAGAAAAGGGGGGTGGGGAGGCTGTGCGGAATTGAGAAAAGGGGGGTGGGGAGGCTGTGCGGAAGTGAGAAAAGGGGGGTGGGGAGGCTGTGCGGAAGTGAGAAAAGGGGGGTGGGGAGGCTGTGCGGAAGTGAGAAAAGGGGGGTGGGGAGGCTGTGCGGAAGTGAGAAAAGGGGGGTGGGGAGGCTGTGCGGAAGTGAGAAAAGGGGGGTGGGGAGGCTGTGCGGAAGTGAGAAAAGGGGGGTGGGGAGGCTGTGCGGAAGTGAGAAAAGGGGGGTGGGGAGGCTGTGCGGAAGTGAGAAAAGGGGGGTGGGGAGGCTGTGCGGAAGTGAGAAAAGGGGGGTGGGGAGGCTGTGCGGAAGTGAGAAAAGGGGGGTGGGGAGGCTGTGCGGAAGTGAGAAAAGGGGGGTGGGGAGGCTGTGCGGAAGTGAGAAAAGGGGGGTGGGGAGGCTGTGCGGAAGTGAGAAAAGGGGGGTGGGGAGGCTGTGCGGAAGTGAGAAAAGGGGGGTGGGGAGGCTGTGCGGAAGTGAGAAAAGGGGGGTGGGGAGGCTGTGCGGAAGTGAGAAAAGGGGGGTGTGAAGCGTGAGAGAAGAGACAGAGAGCAGGGACCGGTGCGGGATATGTGTGCTTGCGGATAGAGGTTACTGCATGCGGTGTGGTGAGGGCATGCGGTGCGGTGTGCGGGCATGAGTGCAGTGCAGGACGCCAAAGAGAGACACTGTTGAGCCAGCTGGGTGGGTCAAACGTGACAAGTGCGCCTGAAAGCGAGAGCGCACTTGGGAGCGAGCATACATACTCTGGAAGTGGCGGAGGGCGCACCTGGAAGTGGCCGTGGTCGATGAGTATGAGGCCCGGCTGCAGCAGCAGCATGGCGAGCAACCACAGGCGATGGGATGCTGGGCGAGAGGCAGATGGGGAGAGGCGGCGCAGGAAGGGCGAGCAGGCGAAGGCGAGGGCGGCGGGGAAGAAGACGAGCAGGTCCGAGGAGAGCACTGTCCAACGCAGCAGAGTTTTGCTGTTGGGGGAGGCGTGGGGTGTGGGATGTGGGGTGTGGGCGAGGTGGGTGGGGTGGAGGGAGAGAGAGAGGCGACGACTTTGGGGTTAACTGGAAAGTCAAGACGAGCAGGTCCGAGCACAGTCCAACGCAGCAGTGTTTTGCTGTTGGGGGAGGTGGGCGTGGGAGTGGAGAAGGAGTGGGAGAGGGGAAACGGGGAGCAGGGAGGAGGGGAGGGAGATGACTTGTGAGCGGACTCGAATAAGAAGACGAGCAGGTCCGTGGAGAGCACTGTCCAACGCAGCAGCGTTTTGCTGTTGGGGGCGGGGTGTGCGAGGGGAAGAGGCGGGGACGAGGGGAGGAGGAAAAAGAGATGGCCTTTGAGTGGAGCCAACTGTCATGGCGAGCACGTCCGTGGAGAGAAGAGCACCGTGCAATGTAGCGGCGCCTTGCTGTTGGGGCGGGGAAGGGAGGGCGGGGAGGGGAGGGCGTGGAGAAGGTGTGGGAGAGGGGAGGGGGGGAGGTGGGGAGTGGGGAAGTGAGGGAAAGAGACTGCTTCTGACAGACTCAAACGTCATTATGAAGGTCCATGGCGAGAACCGCCTACCCCTCTCTTCCAACACTCCCTCCATTCCCCCCTCCCCTTTCCCCTCCAACTATCCTCCCCTTCCCCCCCATACATCCTTCTCCTTCCCCCTCCATTCTCCCCCCCCCTCACCCCACCTCATCATCCTCCCCTTCCCCTTTCCCTCACCCGTCCCCATACCCCACCCCCACTTCCTCCCCCCACCCCTACCTGTAATCAGACTCATATCCTCGCGACGACCCCAGAGCAACAGCATCGGGGCACAGGCGGTGCAGCACCCAGCCGTGCCATCCTCCCCTTCCCCATCCCTTCTCCCCACACCCACCCCACCTGTAATCAGACTCATATCCTCTCGAAGTGCCCAGAGCGACAGCAGCGGGGCACAGGCGGTGCATCACCCATCCATGCATGCGGCTCTGCCACGCGGTGAGAGGCGGGTAGTCCAGCCCCCACCACGCCAGGTCGTTCCTCCCATTCCTCCCTCCTCTCTCCATCAACCCCCACTCTCCCTCTCCTTCCCCCTCACCTCCACCTCCCCTCTCCCCTTCCCTTCCCCATCACCACTTCACTCTCCCCTCCCCCTTTCCCCCCTCTCCCCCCACCCCACCTGTAATCAGACTCATATCCTCTCGAAGTGCCAAGAGCAACAGCAGCGGGGCACAGGAGGTGCATCACCCAGCCATGCATGCGGCTCTGCCACGCGGTGAGAGGCGGGTAGTCCAGCCCCCACCACGCGAGGTCGTTGCTGGTGGAGTTGCGGTACCAGAGCGCGGGCTGCAGGTGCAGCGTGATCTCCATCCAGTGCCTCTGTGCCTCGTAGTCGCCGTACTTTGGTGGCGTGTGCATGCCTTTAGTTGGGGAAGAGGGAAGGGGGAAAGGGGGGAAAGGGTGGGGAGGACCAAGAAGGAGAAAGGGGGAGGAGGAATCGGATGGAGGAAAAGGGGAGGGGGAAGGTGGGGATGGTGTGAGGATCAAGAAGCGGCGCGAGGGGAGAAGAGCGGGCGGGATAAAAGTGGGGACGAGGATGAAGAGGGAGAGAAGGGCTGGGTTACGGCGAGGGGAAGGCGGGAGATGGGGGTGACCGAGGAGTTTGGAAAATGGGGTGGAGAGGGGAGGAGGGGAGGAGAAAGGGTGGCCTGGCAAGGCAAAGCAAAAGCAATGCAGAGCAGAGCAGGTGCCACAAAGAGGAAAGAGCGTGGAACAGTTTGTGAGGCGCCTCAAAAGTCAAAGCGGAGCAGAGAAGAGCAGAGCAGGTGCCACAAAGAGGGGAGAGCGTGTAAGAGCGCTGCAGGAACGCGGCACGGGGGAAGGGTGCTGGCGGGATGCCACTTCCACATACGCGAGCCCAGCAGCAGCAGCAGCACTGGCCTACCCGAGTATGGGTGCAGTCCGGTGCAGAGGCGCACCAGCACGGCGAATCCCATCACCAGCGCGCACGCGCCCCACCACATCCGCGCCGCTCGTTGGCTCCCGCCGCCGCCCCCCGCCTCGCGCGACAGCGGAGCTTCCGCCGCTGCGCGGGCCGCCTTCGATCCTGATCCCGGTCCCGCTTCTGATTCTGATTTCGTTTCCGACCCAGTCTCCTCGCCTTCGTCGGGCAGAAGGAACTCGCAAAATTCGGCAAAGCGGCCCATTGCTCGGGGAGGGCCCGATCTCGGCGACAATGCGCAGCGAGCAGCGAGTAACAGATGGGGCGGGGCTCGCGACAGGGACGGCAGGGAATGCGACGCGCACTGTATGACGGTGTTATTTTAAAAGATCCCGAGTCGTCACATTCTTCCCAACCTCGTCCCAGCCTGATCTGATGCCCGACAACTGAAGCCGTCACAGCAGGCCCGATCTGCGATATTGAAGCGGCGAGAGTTTTACCGCAACGCCTCTAGGCGCTGATCTACAGGCATCCGGTATCGGGACGGTATCAAGATTTGTCCGAAAATCGGAACTTGTCATAAATTTCCCGTCAGGCTTGCACCAGAAAACCAAGTTGATAAACCACGAACCTAGTCCCTGATCTATGCGTCCTAGCCCCGAGTGATAGGGTTGCGAGGGGGTTTCCTAAGTCACCCGTTTTCAGGTTGTTTCGTAACTTGCTGGCTGGTCCAAACCTGATGGGAGGTTAGGCACAAACCTGGTCGCGAAACAAACCCGTTACCAGGCTTGTTGTATGGCGACACCGTGTTTTTGTGGAACAGCAACTTTCACCGTCGCGAAAACACCTCGCGAGTCAACGGTCGTTCATCCTTGTACCCGCCCCCCATTCAAGGTGACTGACTGCCCAACCGTGCACGCGTGCACCCCCCATTTTGCCGCACGCCGTGCTCCTCACGCCGCATGAAGCCATTTTTCATTTCGTCCTTTCCCGTCCGATTTCGAACTGCTGTTGAGCCCGTAGCTCCATATCCTCCACTGCAACTACAAGTACAAGATGCTGTGGGTAAAGATGCTAGGCCGTGACTCATCGACTACCTTGCAATCTCCTACTCTCATCGCTTATACAAGTTCTATCTCGCCTCAGCCGACATGGCGCCACCCACGCACATCAATGACCTACCCGACGACATTCTCACGCAAATCTTTTGGCGCTCCGAGCAGCCCACGCCTAGTAGAAAAGCGGACAGCGATTGCTTGTGGGATTCCCACTCCTTGAGTCCCGCCCCTAAGTACCTCTCTGCAAACCTTTCAAACGAGAATGCCATACGGGAGGGGAAAAAGACTCTATTACCCATTCCTCCTCCCTCCGCGGACGCGCACCGTATTCTCCTCGTGGCGGCCGTGTGCCGTCGTTGGCGCGGTCTCACTCAGCGTTGCGTCTCCGCGCTTCTCGTCCGAGACAATCTCGCCGTGCCTCGCCAGGCTCTCGCGAGTGCGGTCGCTGCCTTACCGAACCTGACCCATCTCCACCTGTGCGACGGCAGCGTCGAGACTCTCGACGACGCCTTCCTCGCTCACCTCGCGTCCTCGTGTCCCAACCTCGCCATCCTCCACGTCGGAAGCAGAATAACCCCTGTGGATTGCAGACGTGGATATGACACTCAACTCGGAAAGGACGAGCATCCTCCCATCACAGAAGCTGGCTTGGATCGCTTCTTTCGGCAGACCACTCGGCTAGAGCAGCTTGCACTTCATTGCCTGGACCCTTCTGTCGAACTCTCCACTTCCTTCTATGAGCTGCCGCGTCTGCACACTCTCGCGGTCACACATGCTTCGAATCTTTGGTGTTCCAAATACGGGTGGTCATATTTTTCATACACCACCAGCCTGGAACGCCTGGAGATTGTCAATGACTACATGCGCCCTGATTCAGAACTGCTGCACCGTAAATTCGGAGAACTGATTCCTCGTCTCCGCGAGCTCACCCTGCGCCAGCGATTCTGGCGATGTGATGTTGAAAGTGCAGGACTGCCGCGTCTTGGTTATCTAAGACTCGTAAAGAGTTTGATACTTTCAGAGTGCAACTGGCTTCACGGCCTGCCGAGAGATATTGACCGCTTGCATGCGCTGAAGACCCTCGTGCTGCACAAGCTGCCTCTCAAGGCCAGCCTACCAGACTCCCTCTGCCACCTGCCTTCCCTCGAGACATTCCTCCTCATCCAGTGCGGCACCACCAGCCATGAGCCACTCCAGCTGCCCGAAGCTTTCTGCCGCCTCACCACGCTCCAAACTCTCGCCATCGTGAAGACGCCCCAGGTGGGGTTACCGTGGAACATTGGAGAGCTCTCAAGGTTGCAGACACTGTATTTGAACGGTCATAACCAGCGGCCGCGACTGCCACTCTCCTTCACCCGGCTGACTTCATTGACCAGGCTTGAACTGGCCATGTGCACGATTCAAGAGCTTCCCGAGGACTTGGGGAACCTGACTAACTTGCGGGAATTGCACATTCGTTCCTGTCCTCGGCTCCAGAAGCTTCCAGCGTCCCTGACAAGCCTCTCAAGCCTTGAAACCCTAACGGTTGATGATTGTGTGAAGCTCGTCTCGGTTCCCAGGAGGTTAGATAGCCTTGGGAGGCTCAAATGGCTGGAGCTGACCGGGTGTTATGACCAGACTCAGCCTCCTACGTCTCTGCCGCTCTCCCTCGAGGTCTTGAGTCTTGGAAACAGCTACCACGTGGCTGATCTGCCAGACGTCTCCGTGCTTCCTTGGCTGAGAAAGCTCTCCTTGAAGCTGGTTGGTGCGCAGGAGAGGATGGGTGTGGGCAGCAGCTTGGCGCGCGTGAAGCAGCTGGAGCTGGCGCTGCAGGAGGAGGCTGTGGAGCTGCCCTTCTCCCTTGCGCTGCTCCCCCAGCTGCACACGCTGGTCATCTGGAACGCGGGGAAGATGCAGCGGCTTCCAAGCGACATGGGATGGGCTGTGGCGCAGCTGAGGGTTGTGCAGATCCACTGTGCGCGGGAATTGAGGGAGCTGCCGGACAGCATTGGCGCTGCATCCCGCCTGCGCCAGCTGCACCTCTTTGACTGCCCCGCCCTGCACCACCTGCCCGCTTCCCTCACCCAGCTTGCATGCCTCCACCAGCTGCATGTGGAAAACACCGGCCTGCGCTGCCTGCCCTCAGGGTTTGCTCAACTGACCCAGCTGCGCAGTCTTAGCTTGCATGATAGTGTACAATTGCAGGGACTGCCAAAAGATCTCACGGAGCTGAAAATGCTGCAATACTTGGGCATTAGATATTGTACAAAGCATGTGTATGATGGGTGGGACGAAGGACTGGAATCTTTAGGGCTGTGTAAGATGCAAGGATTGACAGTAGAATGTCATTGATGGTACCGTATGGCCATCTGCTACTGCTACTGCTACCGCTACCGCTACCGCTACTGCTACTGCTACTGCTACTGCTACTGCTACTGCTACTGCTACTGCTACTGCTACTGCTACTGCTACCGCTACTGCTACCGCTACAGCTACTGCTACTGCTACTGCTACTGCTACTGCTACTGCTACCCTGCTACTGCTACTGCTACTACAGCAATTGCTACTGCTACTGCTACTGCTACAGTACTGCCACTGCTACTGCTACTGCTACTGCTACAGTACTGCCACTGCTACTGCTACTGCTATTGCTATTGTCATTCTACTACCACAGCTACTGCCACTGCTCCTCCTGCTGCTGTTGCTGCCACTGCTATTGTTGCTACGCTCCTGCTGCTATTGTTTGTGCTGCTACTGCCCTTCCTGCCGCCGCTGTGCTTGTTGTGATGCCATCAGCCCCCTCCTCGCCTCATACACAATGTCATCCGTCGGCAGCTCAAACCGGCACATGGGACACGTGTTGCGCATGCCAAGCCACTGCCTGATGCACGGCCCATGGTACAGGTGCCTGCATGGCAGCCTCACCACCTCCTCTCCGACCTCTGCCACGTCATTGCACACAGTGCAACATGCAGCACCACTCTCGACATCCTCCAAGTGCACGAAGACAGCAGGCAAGGCGGCAACAGCAGCCTGAGAAGCTGGAGGGTTTCCGTCTGGCTGTGCTATCATAGCATGCGTAGCAGATATAGTGTTCCACATGTCCCGCATGGCTTGATCAAGACCCGCTTCGCCATGCATGATTGAGATGAGCTCAATGTTGAGGGACACCAATTGTAGGCGAATTACGTTGTTTAAAACGGCATCACGGGCACGAACTGCTGCTAGGTACTCATTCACGGCACCAGTATCACTGTCCGTATCTGCTCCACCATCTTCGTTTGCAACCACCTGATCTTGGACTGGAAAACCCGTTTCAGTAACGTCGTTTCTTGATATACTTTCAACCAAGTTGCCGGTACCATCCGCCACTTCAACTTCTTCCGGAGTCTGTTCAGCCATAGTCACTTTTGTACCTTCTTGACAAGCATATGCCGGTACACTGACACCGACAGCTTGAGTTCCATCATCTGCATCGTTGTTATCTTCAAGCGTTTCGTCCTCGTCAACATGTTCCAATTTTGGATTCGCAGCCCTAGCTTCAGGCACACCACTCAGCTTCGGGTCTTGAGGAGTAGCTGCCATCTGACAGGGTAGACTCGTGCCAGAAGCAGACAATCTCATTGCTGGTCCCCCTTCTGATGGTGGCAAAACCGCTATTGCTGCTGTTGTTGCATCACCCGGCAGATTGACACGTTCCATGCCATCATCTGCGAGTTCAACTCGCATGGCATGACTTCCACGTCTGAAACGCCTCAGAATCCTCCTAGTAGCTCCCAAGGTTGTCGCGATATTTGATCACGCCGCGTTCGAGGGATCTGAGCTCGAAGGATCTGAATCTCGAGATGGGTGAGTGTCAACATCAACCACGACATGGTTTTGAGCCAATCTTAGGTAACTTAGCCTGAAAAGAGCTGCAGTTTCAAATTCCGAAGCCGCTTCAGTTGCTTCCTCAATAGGACCATCTCCTCCATGATCAGCTCGTCTGGAACTGCTCCCTCCTCCACTGAAACGCCTCAGATTCCTTTCGGAAGCACCCAACGACTCTTCAATTTCCATGAACGAGACGTTGGAGCTGCGAGGGTTCGCGCCTGAAGACGCGCCAGAATCAAGAACAATTGTACAACTCTGACTGCGCTCGTCGCCGTGGGTATTGATGTCAGTAACAATTTCTGCCTCTTCAGTCGACGGGTAGTGAAATAGCGATGCTGCACCCTGCATTAATGCCTGAATTGACGTATCGCAACTCTCAGGATCCATCGCGTTGAAACCAAACGAGCTTCGTGAAACTCGGTGAAAAAAAAACGGAGGCTATGTGAGAAGCATCAGACGCGTTGACATCCTTAAAGCGACGGGTCACTTTTGGCAAAGGAACAGTGCTGACGTCAGCACTGCGCGAAATTGGCTCAGTGGTGCGATACAAAAGGAGTTGAACAGGCCGTGACGAAAAAAACGAAATGAGTGCGAAATTCGTAGTGGGGAAGGAAGGCACACTTACCAAGGGACAAACGCGCGCAAGGGGAAGGGATTGGGGGGAGGAAATTGACATCCGCAGCGCACCAACAACAAACCACAGCCACAATTTTCACTCGACAGCAATAACCACACCACACACCACACGCCAATAGAGGCCTTTATGAGTACAATAGTCAGCTTACCACCCAAACGCTTTGTGGATACACGGGTTAAGGCTACGAAGCGCGCACTCTCTAACGGCCCTTGTCTCATAGCTTCATCCACCATGCTCCGTACACGAATTCTCTGACGAAACTAGTTTGTTACTGAATATGTAAGGCACTTGGAAATACTGGGAGTTATTTTTAGAGTGTTTGGAGAAAACGACGACGCTAATGCTTCATCTACGAATATTAGCTGGTTTTGGCTCATAGAAGCGAAGTCGCCGAAATTCAACAGGATCTGCCGTCCCCAGAAATTTCGCGGTGAATGAGGGAATGACAGAATGCATCACGCAATTTCCGCACCAAGGCATCATGTGTGCTTAGACATATCATTCGAGTCCTCCCGTTAGAGCATTCCGCGTTCAGAAACATAGCATCTCGTTTCTCCCCCATCATAGCGTCCCGTTTCCCTCTCAGAATCCCGTTTCCCCCTTGTGATGGGCCCATTTCCCCATTACCGTAGCCCGTTTCCCCCATATTGCATCTCGTTCCCCCTCTAAGCACTCCGTTTCCCCCTCCTATCACTCAGATTTCCCCTCATAGCACCTCGATTTCCCCTCATAGCACCTCGATTTCCCCTCATAGCACTCCGATTTCCCCTCATAGCACTCCGATTTCCCCTCATAGCACTCCGTTTCCCCTTCATATCACTCCGTTTCTCCCTTATAGCATCGCGTTTCCCCCTTATAGCACCCCGTTTCCCCCCTAATAGCATTCCGTCTCATAGCACTACGTGTCCCCCGCATAGCACTACGAGTCCCCCTCATAGCACTACGAGTCCCCCTCATAGCACTACGAGTCCCCCTCATAGCACTCCGTTTCCCCCTCAATGCACTCCGATTTCCCCTCATAGCATTCCGTTTCCCCACCATAGCACTCCGTTTCCCCCTCATATCAACCCGTTTCCCCCTTATAGCATCCCGTTTCCCCCTTTCGCATCCCGTTTCCCCCTTATAGCATCCCGTATCCCCTTGTAGCATCCCGTTTCCCCCTTATAGCATCCCGGTTCCCCGTTTCCCCCTTATGGGATCCCGTTTCCCCCTTATACCATCCCGTTTCCCCCCTATAGCATCCCGTTTCCTTCTTATAGGATCCCGTTTCCCCCTTATAGCATCCCGTTTCCCCCTTATAGCATCCCGTTTCCCCTTGTAGCATCCCGTTTCCACCCTATAGCATCCCGTTTCCCCATTTCCCCCTTATAGCATCCCGTTTCCCCCTCATAGCATCCCGTTTCCCCCTTATAGCATCCCGTTTCCCCCTTATAGCATCCCGTTTCTCCCTCATATCACTCCGTTTCCCCCTTATAGCATCCCGTTTCCCTCCCATAGCACTCCGTTTCCCCCCCATAGCACTGCCTGCGTTGCATGCCGTGGTGTGCCCAATGGGTTGGCATGTTTAATCCGTGATATTTGGCTGGGTTACAAGCAAGTGCCATGCCTCATCGCTCACGACATTACCAGTCTTCGTTTCCCTTCACTGCCTGCCTTTCATCCTCCCAACTGCAGGTCTTCTTTCCCCCCGCCATCTGGCCTCGTTTCCCTACCCTGCCTGCCTTCACATTCCCCCACTGCAGGCCTTCTTTCCCCCCATTACCTTCAAGGAATACTATGGAGAGCGTTACGACGGCGAGAGAGTTTCGGCTATGGGAATTGATGTTGTGCCAGTAATTCGGTAGCGTTTGGGTAGCGTTGGTCTCAAATGACTAAGTGAGAATTTGAGTAGAGATTGGACTTCACTAGGAAAATAGAATATATGAAACACAAACAAACACACATGCAAATATAGGCTACGGGAGAGTTGCACAAAGTTGCCGTGGCGCTGCGCAGTAACCCAACCCCACGAAACTGTCGTGTGGGTGGGTGAACGCGCCTCGGCCAATTCCCAACCCAACTCAGCAGCGCAAACCACTTCCGTGCACGCCACTCCAGCCAACACTGCAAGGAGTGGCGTGACTCTCAAAGAAGCACGCCCAACTCCCAAAGACCCACGCCATCCTGCACTGACTCCGCCGAGTTTGCTGCGGTAGCTCGCTGTCACCCACAGTCACTAGTGACTGCCACCGAACGCATGCGTCGGTGCCGAGTAGACTCAGTCGTTAGGCGCTGACCTGCCAAGTCAAAGGTCATCGAGGGCCCTTGCTGTCGTAGGGCCCTCTAACACTCCCCTGCCATACTACAGCAAGGCCCTTTATAATCACAGGGCATGCATACACACATACACACCAAAACAAAGGGAAACATTCACAAACGAAGCACTCTCAAAGTGCAAACACGCACCGCACCAGCCATGGATAGGCCATGGCACCAACCACATCAAGGAGTGTCTAGGTCTCACTCCCCTCGCTCGAGAGCCTCACCTGCCCCACAGCCTCGAAGCAACGACTGAAGGCGGGGAAATGCAAAGCCTTGGTAAGGTAGTCGGCAGGCTGCTCGCTCGTAGGGATGTACTGCAGCTGCAGCTTCCTGCGCTTGACCATGTGCTGCAGCCACATGTGACGACGCTCCATGTGCTTGAGGCTCCCCTTGAGCCCCATGCCACCTGCCACTGAAATGGCGGAGGAGTTGTCCACAAAGAGAGTAGTGGGAACCTCACTCCTCAGCAGTTGAAACTCTGCCAGCAGGAAGCGCAGCCTGCGCGCCTCCTTCCCAGCCTCCACAGCAGCAACGTACTCAGACTCAGTGGAGGAGAGGGTGGCACAACGAATCCTCTGGCTCGCCCAGGAGACAGCGGCACCTCCGAGCACGAAGACATAGCCACCAGTGCTAGTCCTGTTCTGCTTGTCTCCTGCATCATCAGCATCGGCGTAGCCCACCAGCTCCAAGGACTCAGGCCCACCACCAAACTCCAGCGCCACATCCCTGCTCCCCACCAAGTATGCCAAGCATCGGTCCAACTCCTTCCAGTGCTGGTCACTCCGCACAGTCTGGCCTGACCCCAGCTTGCTGCAGGCAAAGGAGATGTCGGGACGGGTGGTACAGGCTGCGAACTGCAAGGATCCCACCTTCTGCCTGTACTCCTCCTCCTGGCGAGACTGCCATCCCGCATCCTCAAAGGTCTGCACACTGAAAGGGTCAGAGGAAAGGGGGGTGCGAGGCACTCGCAGCGGCTGCTCCCCGTCGAAGAAGCGCCTATGGACCTTGTCCACATAGGCCCCCTGGTGCAGCCACAGCCTCCTCGTAGGCCTGTCCCGAATCAGCTGCAACCCCAAGTACTTCTCCACAGGGCTAATCTCCCGCAGCTGAAACGCACTCTGCAGCAGCTCACGTAGCTCCCCCAGCATGCTCTGACTGCGGCTGGCAGCAAGCAAATCATCCACATACACCAGCAGCCAGCACATCTCCCCCTCAGCATCACTCTTGAAGTACAGAGCCTCATCCACCTGGCTCTTCTTCCATCCAGCCCCAAGCAGCACCCCATCCAAGGCCTCATACCACAGCATCGGGCTCTGCTTGAGCCCATACAAACTCTTCAGCAACTTACAGACACGAGGGGTCCCATCCTCGTAGTAGCTCGGCTGCTCCATGTAAAGGTCACGGTCCAGCACGCCATGGAGGAACGCGTTCTTCACATCCAGCTGCATCAGCTCCAAATCGAGTGCAGCTGCAATCGCTAGAAGCACGCGCGCCGTCACATAGCTTCCCACAGGGGCGTACGTCTCCTCATAGTCCACCCCTGCCACCTGCGTGAACCCCTTCACCACCAGCCGCGCCTTCTCACGCTCTACTACCCCATCAGGTCGGAACTTGGTGTTCAGGATCCAGCGGTTCTTCATCACATTCACCCCTGGCGGACGCGGAACCAACTCCCACGTCCCCTGCTCAATCAAGCTCCGCATCTCCTCATCCATCGCCTCCTTCACCTTGTCGCCCTTCCAGCAGCCCAAGGCCTCCTTCACTGTCATCTTCGCTATATCCCACTGCCTCTCAGGGTCGGCCACCACGTCAGGATCCAGGTCCGTCCACTCTTCGTCCTCCTCCTCGTCATCCAATCCCGCTGGCTCAATCACTAAAGCCCAAGCATACT